CCCGCCCCGCCGCATGGGCGCACAATGGCCCCCCACCTCCAGACTAACGACAGCAGACTGGTCATCGCCGTTCATGAGTGTGGTCGCAGAACAGCATCCCCATGCAGTGCGCCATACACGCGACTACACTGCCAGGAAACGCTCGCAAAAACAGACGAAATCAGCGAAAAAAAAGAGAGAGGCGGCAACGAAGCGGCAGGTTGCACGGTGTGTTTGCCGGGCCATGGCCGGGCGATCCCGCTCCGACAAATTGAAACATTGCGCTCTCTTTTCTGTGCTCCCCTCTGACTGTGTGCTGCCGTGGCGTGGCGTGGCGTGCCGGGCGTTGAGGGGAGAGCAGGCCATTGGAATGGCTTCTCCAATCAATTGCTTCCTCCCCGCCCCACCCCGCCCCTCTCACCGAGCCTGCTTGCATCCCTCTGTGGTGAGTGCGCCGGCCTCTGAAGTGAAGGGGAGGGGAGGGGGCCCAAGTGTGCACTTTGTTAGCGACGCTAGCGGCCTAGCGGCGCACAGAGACTGATGGCTGCCTTGCTGAGCGGACGGACGGACGGACGGACGGACAGACAGACGGACAGGCAGGCAGAAATGCTCGAGGCCTGGAAAAATGCTCCACAGTGGGCCAGAAGACCGGTGGAGGCGGCCAAAACTCCAGACGCCTTTTGAGCCAGAGTCGCTGAAGAGAGTCGAACCGCACGTGTGACCCCACCAATGGATTCCTCGTTCGGAGAGCAATCCATTGATGGGGGTGACACGTTCGGTTCGAGCCCCATTTAGCGACTCTGGAGCTCAAAACGCGACTGGAGTTTTGGCCGCCTCCTCCGGTCTTCTGTCCCACTGTGCGCTCCTGGCCCGGCAAAATGCTCTTGGCCGGGAAATGTTATGGCTGCACAAAACTATCCGTTACGTGCCAACCCCGCATCCGCGAGGACTTTAGTGGCCCCGCTTTTCAGCCGACGACACGATATTCCCGCCAAAACGAGTCGCGCGTGCCTGCTGTCAGTGCTGCCACCCCACTCCTGTTTTCCGCCGGGCGTCTGCCTTGCCGCCGCCTTGCCACTCCGTTGCCACTCCCCCGCCACTCTGACAGTTTGAATAGTCCCACTTTGCGACTTGCCTGCTCCTGTTTCTGGGACTCTGGGCCGCGCCCCGTAGGGCTGCGGAGCGGCCACAGATTAGATGGAGAGTCCGATAGGCAAGGGCTGCAAGGGCCAGAAGACCGGCGGCCAAAACGCGTTTTGAGCCTCCAGAGTCGCTAAACGGGACTCGAACCGAACGTGTTGTCACCGCTCAAACTGGCCTCGCGCGCGGACGAGGTTCCGCGATTCGCCGCGAGATGGCGCTGCGCGCGCCGAGCCGCCGCCCGCTCGCGCTGGCGACCTAGGTTAGTGTTGTAACTAGTTTGTAAGCAGCATTTCTTCGTTTGAAGTCTGCTCTTCTACGTAATCTGGAGATTATGCGCCCGAGTGCCGGCACCGGTGGTTCGGTTGAGGGATGAGCCCACACCCGCACCCGGTTGGTCCCCGAGGAGGACGAGTGCCTGAAACGGCCGTTCCCTCCAGAGGCGATGCGCCATCACTGGCTGCTCCCCTGGTCATCTACATCACCGCCGACGGCAGCTTCGACGGCGACATCGGGATGCCGGGCCCTTCAACCCGAGTGGCGACTGTGCCGACGGTCACGCGGTCACAGTGTGACCCCTCCAATGGATTGCTCTCCGAACGAAGAATCCATTGATGGGGTCACACGCTCGGATCGAGTCCCGTTTAGCGACTCTGGAGCTCAAAACGCGTCCGGGATTTTGACCGCCTCCACCGGTCTTCTGGCCCACTGTGCGGCCCGGAAACCTCCAGGCCGCAAGGACAGCGCCCGGAACCCGGAGTCCAAACTTGGCGGGCAGGGCGACCGGGACGACCAGGACCCAGAGGGCGAAGCGGATGCGGCGCGACCGCCTCGCCGGAACCAGAAGAACCAGCGGAAGCAGCGGCACCAGGTTGGACGTAAGAAGCAGCGAAGCAGCGCGCTGCAGGTTTCCTCCAATTTTGCACGGGTCCAAGTTCCCGCCATGAATTGGGGAATTTCCGGTAATAAGTTTGTGCTGGTCCCGGGCTGGGCCGACTCCGGACACGGCTCTGTCTCTCTCGCACTCAAGGCGCGTTCCGCACAGGTGCGAGAGAGACAGAGCGACGAGCTGGGGTTGCACAGTGGGCCAGAAGACCGGTGGAAGCGGCCAGAACTCGAGACGCGTATTGATCTCCAGAGTCGCTAAATGGGACTCGAACCGAACGTGTGACCCCACCAATGGATTGCTCTCCAAACGATGAATCCATTGGTGGGGTCACACGTTCGGTTCGAGTCCCATTTAGCGACTCTGGAGCTCAAAACGCGTCAAGGGTTTTGGCCGCCTCCGCCGGTCTTCTGGCCCACTGTGGGTTGGTTGGTCCGGGGCCCGGTGCGCGTGCGGAGCGGTGCGGAGCGCAGCGAGCCCGCATAAGATCCAGAGACGAGAGAGCTTTTCACAATCGATCTAATGGACGAGCGACGGGGTGGGGCGGGGCGGGGTGGGGCGGGGCGTTGTTTGGCAAGTTGGTGCCCCGCCTGCCGCCCGCCACACGTCCCAAGTACAGAGGCAAGGCAGGCAAGGCATCTGAATTTGCGGAATCCAGCCTTGTCGCCGCGGGCAGTGGGGCCAGCCGGGCCGAGCGCTCTCGCCGTTCGTCGGCACACCGTTTTGGCGCCCAAAGCAGCACCGGGCGGCACCGGGTTCATTTGCAGCCGTGTCCCCCACCCCCGACTCGGCGCGGACTCTGGGCGCACAGTGGGCCAGAGGGCCGTGGAGGCGGACATAACTCTAGATGCGTTTTGAGCTCGAGAGTCGCTAAATGGGATTTGAACCGAACGTGTGACCCCACCAATGGATTGCTCTCCGAACGTGGCGGGCTCCGTGGCTAACTGGATACCTTCACTCCGTAACGCAGATTTTAGAAAACAAACAACACAAGCACGGTGTGGATCCGAGGTCGGCCGCTGGGATGAGGAATGATTAGACCCGGGATCGACTCCCCACTCCGGCGGCCTTTATTTTTTTTCTCTCTCTCTTTTTCCAGCGCGCTTCGCCGAAAATGGAATCACATCACATGGCATGAGAAATGGCGGGAGTGGCAGCGGGCCACAGCGCGAGGCCGGGCAGGCCGAGAATCTATTCCCAGGCGATAAAGCGTCCGCGCGTGCACAGTGGGCCAGCCGACCGGAGGAGGCGGCCGAAATTCTAGACGCGTTTTGAGCTCCACAGTCGCTAACCAGGACTCGAACCGAACGTGTGACCCCACCAATGGATTCCTCGTTCGGAGAGCAATCCATTGGTGGGGTCACACGTTCGGTTCGAGTCCCATTTAGCGACTCTGGAGCTCAAAACGCGTCTAGGGTTCTGTCCGCCTGCCCCGGCCTTCTGGCCCACTGCGCGGGGCTTGCTTGCGGTGCAGAAGGAGCCCCGCTTCCGGCTGACTTCCGGCTGCCGAGCACGTCCGGCACGTCCGGCGCGGCCGAACCGAAACAAAAACAGATCCAGTCACTTACGCCATTGCCACCCTCTTACGCCAAATGATTGCTGCGGTGGCGCGAAGGGGGCGGGCGGGAAGGGAAGGAGAGGAAAAAGCATGTCTCGGGAAAGAAAAGCTAGGCATACAACTGGTGAGGTGTGCGTGTGTTTGTCTGTGTGTGTCTGTCTGTCTGTCTGTGTGTCTGTCTGTGTGTGTGTCTGTGTGTGTGTCTGTCTGTGTGTGTGTGTGTCTGTCTGTGTGTGTGTCTGTGTGTGCGTGTGTGTGCGCGTGAAACGGCGCCCCTACTTACAATTACCCTGCTACACGGTGCCCGACGGTGCTGTTCAAGGACCCCCGAGCTCATATCAGAAAGGGGGGGGGGGCAATCAGAGGACGGCCCTCGGCGGGGAGGGTGGGGGGTGTAATCAAGCCAGATTGTCCCGGCACGTTGTGTCGGCACGCCGTGTTGACGTACAAGGGGGGGCGCCGTGATCACTGTGATGGCCACACAGTGTAGCGCAGCGGAAGCGATTGGGACCGCCAAGTGAGGTGTCGTGGGTTCGACTCCCAGCCCCTGCTGCTATTTTTTTCAGTAGTCGTGCATGGACGAGTTGAGAATGCACGTTTGTCAGTGGAGGTGTCACGTGGAGACCCAAAACTCTGTTTTTTTTTCCGGTGCCCGGACACGTGGCTGCATGCTTGTTTCCCCATCGGCCCTCTCTCTCACACCGACACAGAGCGAAGCCGTTGTTTCCCAAAGCAATGCCCCTGTTCAGACACGAAAGTCAACCCCCTCTCCATTCGCCATCGACCCGAAGGCCTGAAAGCCCGAAAGCGAGTGCATTCTTGGTCAGCCGAAACCATTCTGCCGGCCTTCGTTCTGATACTCTTCATATTTAATCCACCGTGCACGGATTTTTTTTTTTTTTTTTGCTGCTTTATACTGGCACAGGCGTGCTATTCCACGTGGGTGTGTTTGGCTGTGATTTGGACGTGCGTGTGTTCGGCGCGCTGCCCCGCCCCCAGGGCGTCCCCAGGCCGTCCCCAGGCCGTCCCCAGGGCGTGGTGTTGGGGAGGTGTCCTCGGGGAGTGCGTGCCTAATTGTTACCGGGGCACTGCACGAACGGATGCTATCTAATAAAGTCAGCAAAAATGTCTCCGGTGAGGAAAACCTCCTGAGAATCCACCCATGGTATTTCCAGCACGGTTTTTGGACCCCGTTTTTACCCATATTTTTGGACCCATATTTTTGGACCCATATTTTTGGACCCATATTTTTGGACCCATTTTTTTGGACTCGGTTTTTTGGACCCAGATTATTGTACTCGCTGTTTTGAGCTCGGGATTTGATCCCGGTTTTTTGAACCCTTTTTTGGACCCAGTTTTTTGGACCCAGTTTTTTTTGGACCCAGTTTTTTGGACCCGGTTTGTTTTGCCTCGATTTTTCGGACTGATTGTACTCACTCGTTGTGCGGGATGTCTTCGTCCTGCTCCAGGGACTCGGGCACGGCACTGGTGAGCAGCAGTAGGAACAGCATCCACGCTCCTCGCGGGGGCCGGCCGGGCCCCGCGGAGAGCCCCGCGCGCGTGGGCCCCGTCATGGCAGGCAGCCTAGACAGCCTGGCCTCACAGCCTGGCCTCACAGCCCTCGCCACCGCATCTGCCAACAAGAAGCAAGGTTCAAATACCAGCAGCTTTTTTAATTAAAAAAAAAAACCTCGACCCTCCCTTTATTTGTAAATGTTTTAACAGGGCTTGGGTTGCCATCCCTTCCGCTATGACTTCGGTCAACATCATTCACAACAGAGCACGATAAAAGGCATAGAAACCACGGCCCGGGGGGGGGGGGGGACAGGCGGGCAGTCTCTCTCGCTCCTCTGTGGGACGGCCCGGCACGGCCCGTGAGTGCGAGGGAGACAGAGCGCCGATGTTCGGAGCCAGCCTGCAGGCTGCATGCAGCGGGCAGGCCTCCCAGAAAAGGCGCTCGCACCATTTGGCACAAATTGCATAAATTGGGACGCGCGAAAAGCGAAAATTCAAAAACGCAAACTATCTGCCCTGCGCGTTTAATGTGGTGTAAACCATGGCTCAACCTTGTCTCCCCATCAGGGCCATGGCGAGGGGGAGGGGGCGATATATTCGCGAGGGGGAGGGCAGCACGTCAAAGCGGTCGCCCATAAATAAGATAAATTGTGGTAGGGTGGGTGTGGGAGCCTCCAGTGTGGGAGCAGCACTCTGTGGGTGGCCGGAGTGCCGGAGTCGACACTGCTCCCAAAATAGCTGACGAATCCGGGCGGCATTTCGGCCCGGCGAGCGGGCAGGCAGTGTCGATGCACTGTCAAACCAACTCCACACTGGAAAGCCACAGTGGGCCAGAAGACCGGTGGAGGCGGCCAAGATCCTAGGTGGGTTTTGAACTCTTAGTCGGTAAATGGGACTCGAACCGAACATGTGACCCCACCAATGGATTCCTCGTTCGGAGAGCAATCCATTGGTGGGGTCACACGTCCGGTTCGAGTCCCATTTAGCGACTCTGGAGCTCTAAACGCGTCTAGACTTTCGTCCGCCCCCACCGGTCTCATGGCCCACTGTGCCGCGTGGGGTGGCTAGAAGTGACGGCGCAAAACCGCACGACACCACCACGCGCGCCACACCTAACTGCCGCCATTTTTTCCCTTCGTTCCAGTCTACGCCTGTTCCGCACACCGCCTTTCTTTTTTCGTCGAAACGTTTCCGCTGTTTTTTTATTTTAGTTTTTTTTCTTCTCCTGCAAATCCTACCGACAAACTTCGCCGTTGGTTGATTTTTTAAAACTTTTTTTTCTATTTTAGAGTGTGATGCGGACCCCGCACGCTCTCTCCTCATGCGAGGAAGGATATTTAAACCAAAATGTCAAAGTGGCGTTCTTACTGAAAAGCACGTCTCTCCATTTGGCGCGCAAATGGGAGGAAATTGGACTGGGGCGGGGCGAACGGGACGGGGGGGGGGGGGGGGGGCGAGGGCCTTGCGCGTGGTCACGCATGGGAATGCACAGCGTACAACTGTTCGCATAGCACAGTACATCGCCAGGCCCTCTGTCTCTCTCTCTGTTGGCCACCCTAGCATTGCGCCCCACAGCCCCCACAGCCCCCCGACGTCGGGGCGGCGCGGCCGAGGCGCGGCTTGACGTGAAGGATACAGCTTGATCCACGTTGTAGGCGATCCGGCCCTTCAACAACAGCTGCAACAACTCTGCGTATCCGACGCACAGTGGGCCAGAAGACCGGTGGAGGCGGAGTTTTGTCCAGAGTCACTAAACAGGGCGGCGCCCGTGTCTCAACGTCCAGTTCGACACCTCGACACGTCTCTATCTTTTTTTTTTAACTTGCAGATTCCAACAACCCCTCCAGGGCTGGCGCTCGCCGCACAACCGCGACTGATTGTGAGCAGTGCTTTCGTCGCTCTGTCTCTCTCGCGCTCGAGGGCCGTGCCGTTGGGGTGCGAGAGAGACGGAGCGACGAAGCGCTGCGCTCCAGGCCGTGCAGGCCGTCCGCTTTGACGTCAAAGGAACGCACGTGTCGCTGTGGCGTGTCGGGCCGAGCGCCAGCCTCAAACAAATATTTCCCTTTCCAAACGTGAATTCCAAAAGCGAATGAACCGGTCCTGTTTGAGGGTGGCTTTCAGTCTGACGAGTCACAGTGGGCCAGAAGACCGGTGGAGGCGGCCAAAACTCTAGACGCGCTTTGAGCTCCAGAGTCGCTAAATGGGACTCGAACCAAACGTGCGACCCCACCAATGGATTCCTCGTTCAGAGAGCAATCCATTGGTGGGGTCACACGTTCGGTTCGAGGCCTGTTTAGCGACTCTGGAGCTCATAACGCGTCTGGAGTTTTGTCCGCCTCCACCGGTCTTCTGGCCCACTGTGCGTGCCAAGGGGGTGGGACTCGTGGGGCTCGGCTAAGTTTTGGTCGGCGGGTTTGGTCCCCACGCCGTGCCGCCGCGCCGCCACCCCGCCTGCCAGAAAGGCCCTGGCAGTGCTGGCAGCCCCGGCAGCCCCGGCAGCCCCGGTCCCCGACGATAACAGCGAATAGTTTGTCCCCACCACCGTAAGGCCGTGAGGCACACCGTGGTGCCACGAGGGCTTTGGAGAGCCGCGCCGGTCCGGGTGTAGTCCTGGGCCGCCACCGTCGCCAGTGTACCTACACTGTGCACGCCGCGCCAACGCGCACCTCGGGCTCTATTCAGCCTCAGGGCGGTGAAGTGGGCCAAGCCTCGACAAGCCTCGCTAAGCTTTACAGTGTAGCGCCAGGCAACTGTTGATGAAACCTTGTTAAGGTGGCAGCCCTGGAGTGGCGGCTCTGGCCCAGGCCCTGGCAGCACTGGGGCGCGCGGTGCGGGCCGCCCGGGCCGCGCTGCCCGGGAACGACCGGGAACGGGGCGAAGGCGCATAGCCGCGCATAGCTGTGGCACTTTGGTGAGGCACTTTGGCCAAAGTTGAATGCAGGTCGGTCCGGGTCGGTCGGCAGGTTAGGCCCGTCCGTCCCGTCCACCCCGCGCAGCGCGCAGGCCGAGCGGGCCGACCCGAATATCGGTACCCATTGGCGGTGGCCTCCTCGCCTCCTCGCCGCCACAGCCATCGGCCGAACACCGCGCAAACTTCTCGAGCCAACAGGCCAACTTCGGCGCGGTCGGCCGCGAAGCGCGAAGCACCGCGAAGTGCAGAGGCGCGAGCGTTCCTAGTGTACCGCCACTTCCGGTGCGGCGCCGACTTTATTCGCCGGGCAAATGTGCGGAAAAGGGGTGGACAACCTTGCAGGATCCTATTCGACAGTGTGCGCACACTCACTCTCTCACTTACTCTCTCTCTCTCTCTCTCTCTCTCTCTCTCTCTCTCTCTCTCTCACTCTCACTCTCACTCTCACTCTCACTCACTCACTCTCTCTCTCTCTCCTCTCTCTCTCTCTCTCTCTCTCTCTCTATTTCACACACACACACACACACACGGCACACAATCAGAGGCACACTCACGCGCACCCGCGATCGTCCTTTCCCGCCAACTGATTTCCAGGTCGCCCCCCCTCCCTTCGGGCAGGGCAGGACCCTGGCTGGTGGGCGGGGCGGGCTGGCCGGGTACCGGGCCGGCTGCTCGCACGCCGGCCCGCCCTGTCCGCCCTGCGGCAGGCGGGTGCCGCACTCCTTCTGCCGCCTGAGGCCTTAACCAACACTGCACTCACTTCAACGACGGCGGCCTCGCGGACTGCGGCCCCGCGGACGGCGGCCTGCGGAGACCGCGACGCGACGACGCCGAGCCGGCTCGGCGGACACGACACGGACACGCGGCGGACACGTGACGGACGCGGCCTCGAGCGACGCGACGAGGGGGCGGCGGGACGCGGGAGAGTCCGGCGCACGACGGCACGGCACGGCACGGCACGGCACGGCACGGCACGGCACGGCACGGCGAGGACGCGGCAGGACGAGGCCCCACGGCGGAGCCACGGAGCGCGGCGCGGCGCGGCGGGTGGCGGCACGGCGGGGTTGGCGGTGTGGCGTGGCGGCGGAGGCTTGCGCCGGACTGGGGCCTCACTGCCGCTGGGGCTGCCTCGTTGGGCTGGGGCCCTGTGTGCTGGAGCCCCGCAGGGCCGCAGGGGTGGCGGCGGGGTGGCGGCGGGGTGGGCCTCAAAAAACAGAGCGGCCGCACCCCCTACCCCGACACAACCCCCTTTCGCATGCGCTCGGCTCGCTCGGCTCGCTCGGCTCGGCTCGGCTCGGCCCGTTCGGCTCGGCTCGGTCGATGAGGGTGGGAGGCCCCGCGCCGCCCCGCGCCGCCCCCTGCAGCGCCCTGCCCGCCCCGCGGGTCGCGTCCGCGGCGTCCGCGGGTTCGGGGTGGTCCCCCTCCCCCTCCCCTGGGCGGTGGGCTGTCCGAGTGGAGCGAGCGGCCCCGGCAGCCCCGGCCCCGACGTGACGCCCCGGACGCGGGGCTGGATGTGGGGCGCAGCGGCGTAGCGCGGTGCGGGGAGGGGAGGGGAGGGGTGACGCCGCCTGCCTCCCTCGCTCAGAGACAGCATCCCCACCCCTTGCCGATCCGCGGCCGAACCTCGAACCCACACGGGCGGCACGCGTTCGGACGTTTCCGGCGGTCGTGGGCCCCGCACTGCAAGGCTTCGCCGGGCTTCGCCGGGCTTCGCCGGGCTTGGCCGCTCCGCTCCGCTGGGCCGAACGCATTGCCGCCTTCCCCGTTCCCCGGCGTCGGGCTTCAGCCCCAGGGCGCCCCAGGGCGTCTGGTTCGAAACACAAACCGGAGCTGCCGGAGTATAGCGTGCTCGCACACCGCGAACGCGAACAGCCTGAAGCACGCACCGACCCAAGATCAAAATCGGCCCACCGCCTGTTTTAAATTATTCCATACAAACGTTCAAGTTTAAATAAAAATGAAAAATTGTAAAAAAAAATCCTACGTTTCTTTTTTTAGTTTGTTTATTTTTCCAGAGTCACAAGCGCGCAGCGCAGTGCGTTATCAATCATTTCGCACGTGCCCGCACCGTGAGAACTTCCCTTCCTCGTCCGCCGCATCCGCCTCCCTGCGCGGGGTATCGCCGAACGCACATCGCGCTCGCTCGTCTCGTAGCGCGTGGAGTATCTCCGCGCTACCCGCGCTATTTCTCATACATTCGAGAGCTGGACACACTTGGTCGAAAGCATCCGGCAACTCTCGACTCGAAAGTGAGTTGACTGTGCTGCGACGGGTTTCAGTTCACCTAAACGCCGATCATCTTTATTTCGCCACAGAAAAGTTGGACAAAAATCGCTGAAAATGGAGTGTCTTCTCGGCCTGGCCTGCAAAGACTTTGCGATTATTGCGGCTGATCAGACCAATGCCCACAGTATTATTGTCATGAATAATGGTAAGGACGGTTTCTAACCCCAACCATGATTGTGCTTTTTGTTATTCATTCTCAGTATTTGATTGATTACCTTGTGGACATGGCTTCACTCTTCGTAAATGTCATGCAGATGCTTTGCTTAAATTCGTACACGCGTTTCATTGAAGTTTTATGTCATTCTGACGTAAAGTGTGTGTATATTTATGTGAAACACAACCTGTCAGTCTCATTCGGTAATTATTTGCTATTGTTTACAGAGGAGAACAAGCTTTTCAAAATCTCCAACCACATGGCTATGGGCATCACTGGAGAGTCAGGTGATACTACCCAATTTGCGGAATTCATCGCCAAAAATATTCAGCTGTATAAGATGCGTCATGGATACGAGTTGTCCCCATCGGCAGCTGCTAATTTCACAAGGAAGACTTTAGCTCAGCATTTGCGCAGCAGCGTATGTATCTCCTGTATTTGTTTAATTTTCCCTAGAAAATTTTCCAGCAAAATGTAACATCTTATTGTGTGTTTCCAACAGACTCCTTACCAGGTCAACATGTTGCTGGGTGGCTACGATACCAATGCCGATGAATCTGCTCTGTATTTCATCGACTACTTGGGTTCCTTCCAGAAAGTCCCCTTCGCCACTCATGGCTACGGTGGATTTTTCTGTATGGGAATCATGGACCGCTTCCATCGCAATGGTTAGTTTAGTTTTGTCTTTCATTTCCCTATGTGGTGTCATGCAAAATTATTAATGATGGGGTTTTCTTTGCAGATATGAATGTTGAGGAGGCCTATGATGTTCTTAGAAAGTGTGTGGCTGAGATTCACAAGAGGTTAATTGTCAATTTGCCCAACTTCAAAGTTCAAATTGTTGACAAGAATGGAATTCGTGATCTAGAGCCTCTGACAGCCAAGAATCTGAAACCTGCCGTGTAAAATAATACACATATTTGTTTAAGCTTGCTCTTTGAAATAAACTAAGTTTTATAAATGCCTAAGACTAATGGGGAATAAATAATTCATTTAAAAATATCTCTAGCTCTTCTGATTGTACGACTTGTGGACTTTGTGCTCCTCCCAGAGATGAGAAACTTTGAACGTTTCTAAAGGCAGGCTAAAAATGGAGTAGATCTGTGAAAAAGAAATGATTTGCAGGTATTTGTTTCAAAGAATTTATTTGATTAAATATTTTGGTTGATTGGTTAACTATCTACAGTTATCTGCTCAACATTATCTCATTCAAAAGATGAAAGAAAACATTGAATATGCTCTTTGGTATACTGATTGGGTCAAAATTGAAAATTCACACTTGGTTTTTAGTACAACTACTAGATCTTTGATGACTGATTTCACTTTGGCAATGGTACTTAAATGTAATTACGCATTCATAGGCAGATTACCTGTCTTAACATAGTCTGCATAAAATTTAGTTCACAAAAATAAGGTATGGCTACCAATATGAGATCAGTTCCTCCAAACAAAGTTATTGATGGAGCAGTCTCAATAATACTACAAAAATCATGATCATAATCACATTTTTTGGTCTATGTAATCACAGCAAAATATAAATACAAATGCAAATAATATTTTAAAACTACACCATAATGGTCAATATGTCCTTCTGTAAAAATAAAACAGTACTTAAAAAACAATCACAATAAGTGGTTACTTAAATAAAGGGTTTCAAAATGACTAGAAGTTGGTTCAGAAAAAGAAAATAAAGTGGAGAAATGATGGACAAACTAAAACAAAACATAACAGATCAATATAAAATCAGTTTCAGCAACCGATATCAATACTAAGTAGCACATGGGTCTATCCCACAAAAATTGATAAGTGACAGGAAAATCAATTACTTTAGGAGAGAGAAAAGGCGTACATAAAATGTTTTGCCAACGTTAAAAAAAAAACAAGAACAATAGATTATTTATCCTCTATTCGATTCACTCATAATTTTCTGATAAGTTTTGATTTGATACCAAGAGGAGACCTCCCGTTTCGCTCTACTGGTGACAGTTACGGTATAATACTTGGATAGAATACTTGACTAGAATACGGAGAGGGCGAGGACTCTCTCTGGACTCTACTCCGCGCTGAAGCCGTAGAGGCGGGCGATGCGGTGGTACAGTTCGGCCAGCGCCTGCTGCAGCGTGTGGTCGCGCGAGTGCGCCGTCAGCCGCCGGAGTCCTCCGAACAGCGCGGGCAGCAGGGCCATGAACTGGGCGTCGGACAGCTGGGCCACCAGGTCCAGCAGCGACCCCAGCATCTCCCGGGCAGCCACGCGCCGAGCACCGGAGTCCTGCGTGGGCAATCATGATCGGCATTCAAGTGTCACCGAGGCAAAGAGGGCGCACAGTGGGCCAGAAGACCGGTGGAGGCGGCAAAAACTCTAAACGCGTTTTGAGCTCCAGTGTAGTCCTAGTGTAGGTAAACAGGACTCGAACCGAGCGTGCGACCCCACCAATGGATTGCTCTCCGAACGAGGAATCCATTGGTGGGGTCACACGTTCGGTTCGAGTCCCATTTAGCGACTCTGGAGCTCAAAACGCGTCTAGAGTTTCGGCCGCCTGTACCGGTCTTCTGGCCCACTGTGGGACGGCTAAGTCTGGGACTTTGGTCTCACCTTGACGATGCTCGCTCTCCGCTGCTGGTCGATCTCGGGGGGGATGTCCAGGGCGGGTGGCGGCGGCGGCGGCGAGTTGAAGGGGTTGGCCCTGGGCTGCAGGCCGAACCTCGACTTGTGCCGCCGGTACTCCGCCACCAGCGTCTCCATGTTGTTCTCCGCCACCCCGTCCTGCTCGTGGCTGGGGGGGTCGTCGTCGTCCTGGTCCGCGTCGTCCAGTGTGCTCGGCGAGGGGCTCCCTCTGTGCTCGGTGTGGCTGGTGTGGCTGGTGCCGTCGTTTTCGTCCACCTCCACGCTCGAGGAGGAGCTGCTCGTGGAGTCCAGAGACATGCGGCCCAGGTCCGCCAGCCTGGAAAGCACAAAGGCTTCGTTGTTGCAGTGCCGGCAAAAGGCGCAGACCCACACACGTTTTGTAATTACGGCAATGATGAATGAACAGCTGCGGCGCAACAAACTCACTTGAAAGGACGATACGGCTTCTCTCGCCTCTCCTTCTTCACCTTCCTCGGCTTGGGCACCACGTCCTCGTCCTCGTCCTCTGGCCCTCCACTCGCGTTGTCGGCCTCCTCCAAGTCAGCACTCCCCAAGTCCTGAAAGCCCCACAGAATAAACACCTTTCCAGGAAAAGACACATTGAAGAAGGTGAGCAAAGGTGCGAGACCTGTCTTTCGGCGAGCAGCTCCTGCCTGCAGGGGATGTCGGGGAAGTCGGAGCCCTGCGTCGTGAGGAAGAAGATGGGCGTGTCGCCGAGGGCGTCGGAGGCGGCGTGGCGGCCCTGGCCGTGGCCCTGGCCCTCGCGGTCCTCCACCACGTCCACGTAGAGCGCGCACAGCGCGTCGAAGGACTGCCGCAGCAGCGACAGCGCCCAGCCCAGGCTGCCCGCGCCGTCCTTGGTGGGGCTGTCCTCCATCAGGCGGCGCACGTCCTCCGTGGACGCCGACGTGACGGCGATCTGGTGCAGCGCCACGTCCACCAGCACCACCACCTGCACACCAAGGAGAGTTCATTCAAGCGGTTTGCAAAGCGCCCGCCGCCCGCCGAGTCGAGGGTAGGCAGCCTCGCGACTGCAGAGGCTGCAGAGCGCGGCGGGCGGCCTACCCGGCGGTCCGCAGGCGCGCCATAGCGCGCGGCGCTGCCCAGAAACCCGGAAACAGGCGCAGACGAACCTTGATGGTCCAGGCGGCAGCGGCCTGGCGGTACAGGTTGGCGGCCGAGTCCAGGCCGGCCACCTTCTGCACGAGGAACTTGAGGCCGGGCCGCGCGTCGAACTGCAGCGCCGCGCAGTAGCTCACGTCCAGCGCGGAGAGCAGCGCCTCGAGCTGGGCCGGCGACAGGCAGCGCATGAGGCCGGGCAGGGCGGGCAGGCCGGGCTCGGCGCCGGTCGCGCTGCCGCACTGCACCACGTTGGCCAGGCTGGGCACGGCGTGCGGCGTCCCCCGCAGCAGCAGCGCGCCCAGCGAGTGCAGCAGTAGCTGGTGCGCCAGCAGCCCCACCACCAGGGCGCGGTACCACACCCGCACCACGGCCTCCTCGCCCGCGCCCAGCGCGTAGCACGGCGAGCAAGGCGAGCAAGGCCCCGCCCCCGGCGAACTCTGCGCCGTGGCGGACCCCGACGCCCTGGAGCTGGGGCTGAAGAGCAGCAGGACGTACGAGCGCTCCTCCGCGTCGCCGGGGCCGCCGCCCGGGACGGACACCGACGGCGCGGCGGGGGCGGGGCAGGCCGCCTCGCGCTGGCCCTCCAACAAGAACACCTGCAAGCAGAGGGACGGCCGTCAGCGCCGTGGCGGCAACACGCGAGCCAAGTCCAGGACGACGGCGCCTACCTGGTGGCCCAGGTGGGCGAGGCGCAGGCACTGCTCCGGCGTCGTGTCCCTGCGCGCGGCCACCTTGACCTGGCCGACGTCGCCGTAGAAGGCGTGGCTGCCGGGCCGGAAGGCCACCAGCAGCTGCCGCATGGGCTGCAGCGACGCGGCCGTGGCGAGGTGCACGCCCGCCACCACGGCCCACCACTGCGGCTCGGATAGCAGCGGCCCCGCCGACGTGAACAAGTGGCGGATGCAGGCGCAGCCCAGGCGCGCGATGCTCTCCACGGGCTGGATCACGCACTCCACCAGCACCAGCAGCACGCCCTTGAGCATGAGCGTGCACGCCGCCTCCACCAGCCCCGCCGCGCCCTGCGCCCCGCCCTGCGCCGAGCCGGGCGCCGCGCCCTTGAGGTACGCCAGGTACTCGACGACCAGGTCCGTGGCCAGCCCGGTGCACTGCTTGAAGCTGGCGGCGCAGCGGTCCCACGCGTCGGGCTGCTTGCCGGCGCGCCGCAGCCAGCCCTGCAGCATGGGCAGCAGCATGTGGTTCACGCAGTGCAGCGCGAACAGCGGGCCTGCAGTGGAAACACTCGGTTAGGCCCAGTCAGACACACTGTTTTAAAAAAATGCAGCCTGCTAGTGTACCTGGCACTTGCAGCAACTCGTGCAGCTGCTGGAACAGGGCGTCCAGCACGTGCTGCTGCTGCTGGTCGCCGGGCGTGTCGCCGGGCGTGTCGCCGGGCGCGGCCACCGTGGCCATGAGCCCCTCCAGCACCAGGTACCACACGCGCAGCACGCCGCTGGGCCTGTCCACGGAGGCCAGGTCGATGATGCCGGGGTCGTCGAAGGTGCTGAGCGTGGAGTGCGGCACGGCGCCCAGCGCGGCGTGCAGCGCCGTGGTCGCCTCGTCCATGCACGAGCCGGGCTCCCAGTCCACGATCTCCAAGTCCGAGTGGATGGGGTTGAGCACCAGCGCGGGGCTCTGGCACAGCCTGCGGAAAACAACGAGTAAGCCTTCCACTGTGAAAAAGACGGTGCAACGGACCACCGCCGTGCGACGTACCGGTGAGCGGAGTGGAAGATGGGGCAGGCGGGCATGTCGCACATGGAGGCAAGGATTTGGCAACAGCGCCGCAGGTACTTCAGAGCAGCTATCCGTAGCTGTAGGGGAACTTCACTGTTTGGATCCTCAGCGTCACCTGAGAAAGGAAAACCTTGTCAGACTGGAATGGAGCGCAGTTTCACTCACTAGCAAAATCTCGGAAGGAACCTCACCTGGTTTGCGCACATGTTTCAGCAAGCAGAGAACGCAATCAACAGCAGCATTGGAGAAGACTAGAGGATTGTGGGTGTTGAGGAAAACTTGAAATACGTCCAGCAGGGCCGCGAGGTGTCCAACTGCAGTTGACGTTGGAGTAGTTGACACAGCAGAGGGTGCAGCAACTTTCACAACTCGCAATGCACCGAATAGAGGCCTCCAACCTGATCTGATCTCAGTTCTATTTGCTTCTACAAATTCACAAATACAGCTGACAATCTAAATAAAAATACAACAGGAATTTAAAAATTATGGCCACTAAGAAGAATGCCACACATTTTTTTTTTACTCTTGAAAATGTACCTGATCCTGGACGTCTGAATCACAAAGCTCAAGGCAGAGCAGATTTTCGAACGGCTTGAACAAGGCCTCATTGAAGTGAAAATAAGGGAGCTCTGACAGGTCGTTAAGGAGGGCATTGACAGAATCATGAATACATGCAACTGCCTGTTTGGATATGGCACGGTCTCTGTGACAAGCAGCCTGTAAAACAAAAAATTATAACAGGAAATATTAAGATCAAAACACATCAAACACACAAAATCCTTGACTTTGGCAAGTCACAAACCTCCATGAAATGTGGCCCGACTATAGACCATGCTCTCATGATGTGGATCAAAGGCCTTCCACTCCTGATGCACTTGAGCATGACGTCACCGATCCGCGTCAGCAGTAACGATGTATCGGGATGGTCGTGCTGCTCGATTTCGGTCTGAGACTTCCCCTTCAGGCGCGCTCCTGGCCACCATGTCCTGCTGGCCGCCGCCTCCTGCTCTGAACTAACACGGCCAACCGGGTTGCTTTTCCCTGAACGCGAAAATAGCTGACCGTGCGATGCGGAGCAAAGAGCCTTCAAAAAGCCAGAGAGGGCTCTCATGTTGAGCTTGAGAGCAGCCTCCTCAAATAACCTGTGAAACCAGAAAAAAATAAACGGGATAAGATAAAACAATAGGATTTGTGGGGCAATGGCCATGATTTGGAGGGATTTTGCAGACATACCTGTCAACTTGCTGAGACAAAAGGCAAATGACTTTAGCAGCGTGGTAGTCTGATAAAAGACCACCTGAACTAGCGTCTGCAGAGCTACCTTGAATGACATCCGCTACAGAGGCAGCAGTACTCACAGGTGTGGATGGTGTGGACAGGAACCCATACACATCACTAAAACAAAAAATTTAAAAATTATTTGAGAAAAAAAAAACAGCTGTTTACTTTGGATAACGGAACAGTAGAATGTACCAACCATATTTCAGTGTCGTCAACAGAGTCAAAACTCAAGTTGAGACGATCGTGGATAGAAGACTTGTCTATGGCGGGTGAAGAAGAACTTGTTTTCATGGATAATTTAGGGCCAAGATTACGGTTGTGGACTTGGCTGAAAAAGTCATGCTCCAACTTGGCCACAAACAAGCAACACCTACAAATACAGAATACTTGGTTTGAATTTGCACAAATTTAATTAAAGATAGATCCTCTTGGACCTTAGAGGTCAATTCTTACCGGAACACATGAGGCCAACAGTCTGCACTGTGACTGCTCATTTCAAGACCGCGGCCGACAAGGACATCCATACTTAGCGCATGGGAGGCATGAAGCTTACGAGTCTGACCAAGCAAACGCTTCAGCTTACGAATGCGTTGACGAGGTTTCCTAAGACTGTGCCTTAAAGCCGCGGCCAACTGTTCTCGGTTGCGAGCACTCGTAAAAGCATGACCTAAGCCATTATTATCATTTGCCTCAGCTGCTAAATCTTCATCTGAGGCTGCCCCATTCAAATTACTGTCCATTGCTCCAACAGGACATGATGCAGTGGCCAACAGAGAAAAGAGTGAGCCACATCGTGTTTGCATTCCTGTCAGCAAACAGGGAAAGATAGTTAAGTAAAATAAAATGTTTCCATGCAAGACTCTCAAAGCTGTGGAAAGAAAACTACCTAAAACATTTGCTAGTTTGGCAGCTCGTTGCAATCCTTCCAAGCTAGAGACAACTGCCTCTCGGAATCTTCTACTGTCATCCCTACTGTTGCCTGTACGGCTAGATGCAACACGACTGGAGCCTTCCAACAAGGAGGAGAGAACGGCGAGCATAGAGTCCCAGCAGCACGTGAGGACTCGTCGAGACAACTTGATGCCTGGCAAAAGGAGGCAAAACACAAAGGGACAAAAAATTATAAAGTGTGATGGTTCATGAAATATGAGATTTCTTTAACTTGCTTACCTGCTTCGACCTCAGGACTAGTTTCAACTTGAGTAGTGGCTCGTTCAAGGCGTCTACAGTCGGACAGCAATTGGCCACCAGGTTGGTTCGAGTCCAAGCCATCAAGATCAGTCAGCAGGTTAATTAGGGCAATGTTGTCTGTTTGAGAGGGATCATAACCATTGCTCTCGAGAACACTGTTACTTAGGGTCTCCTGGTACAACTCTGACAGCCAGGCAGATGACAAATAAACAAGAACTCCTGAACCATGAACTTGTTCGACAAATTGATCCTAGGAAAGAAAATAACACATCATTGTTTGGGCACTGAACTGTCTTCTAAGATTTGACTGTCTGCTAAGATTTGTTCAATGTACCTCATTCATAAGAAGCATTTTATTGCTATCAGAGTAATATCCTTGGTGAATCAGTTTAAGGTTCAAAAGAAGAGCAGAGTATGTAGCAAGATAAATTCCATCAGCATTGATGATAGTCACAGGTGCTGCGGGACAGTCACTTAAATGTTGTCCGGTGAATACTCCTGAAAAAAATATTGAGTGTGAATATTTGTTATCAAGCAACTTGATAAATAAAAGAATTTTTAATTTTATAAACCTTGGCAATATTTGGATGCAAACTCTTGCATAGCAGCATCAACTTCTATTGAACTTCGTAAGCTCAACAAATCTCTCACTAAACCATTGAGGCTCTGAGCAAAATGACGAGCACTCTGACGTTCAACATCAATGTATTCAGCACGGACCTGGATTAAGAGAAACATTAGCAACAGGAGAAGCAGTTTGATTTGCCTTTTTTTAATGGCAGAGAAATTTATAAGTACCGGTATAGGTTGATAGTCATGAAGGGTACGAGGCAAGCGCTCCAGCCTTTCATCAATTGGGTCAAGCTTTTGATTTCCAACATGTATCTCAGCATCAGCAACCATTTCATCCAACTAATCAGGATAAAACAACAAATTAGTAATAGGTTACCACAAAGAAAAAAAAAACATCAAGACAGTGAGATTAAATCACCTGAGGGTCATCTTCTGGTCCTTCAGTATCCCCAGAACTGTGGCTTTGATCACTCCTGTCACTGTGATCACTTGCGCCTGGTTGGCTTTGTTCTATACCACTACTGCTGTCACTTTCAGCAGCACCGTTTCTCAGCATTGCCTTTTCTCGCTCCATTCTTTCCCTATAATTCTTGGGCAGTCTTGACATGCTTTGATAAGTTAATGGGCCTTTGGGATCAAATGAAAAATGTTATCAAAAAAAATTATTTTAAGAAGGATTTTTAGAGAAAATATTTTGAAAGGCACTCATTACCTCTGTAGTCACACAAGATTAAGTGTGGGTAGGTGGTATTAATTTTTTCTGTGTACTTGTCAGATACACCCCTGCCAGCACAGAGTTCTTCCAAAGACCCCAGCATAGCTACAATACAGGCCACACTGGCTTGTGCTAGTGCAGAATTTCCCCTCGTTGCGCACTCTTCAATGGAGTCCATGACCCTGGAAGTCATACATATTGATTAAAAAATAAGTCAATGTCACAATAAAGGCAAATGTGCATGACAAGACAACCAAACTTACAATCTCATGAGAGCCATGTCACTTTGAGGAGATCCCTTTTCATCCTCTAAAATAATTGGCCCAGCAAAGTCAACCATGCGGCTGGGGCTTCTAAGCAGCTAAAAAATATGGAGTCTAAGTAAAAGAAACTCAATGGAACAAAATTTTTTGATTACCTGTACAAAATTTTCAATACCTCTTTAAGTGCTCGCAAAGCTTCTAAACGATGTTGAGGTGGTGGGTACAGCAGCATTCGGTGGAAAACGGATTCCAAGACAGGTCTCAAAGAGCCAACACAGCCGACAAGACGAACCAGTTGTGTTCCAATGCTAGGAGGGAGGCATCCACTTGAAACACTCTCTTTACTGCTTATTTCTTCGCATCATGTGGTTAAACATTTCCTTACCTGTACACAGTTTTGGCCTGCTGGCTGTTGAAGCTTGGGGCGGTGGCCAAGCAGCCCGAGCCACGCCCTTTCACAACAGCACCTGCTTTGCTGAGGGTAGAATTGTCAGGGCGGGAGGATACAATGTTTTTGTCCACTCGAGGCGTCCCTAAAAAAGCCACAAGCGCTGGGCACAATTTCTGCCATAAAAATGCTGTAAAATGCCTGTTAGCATGCACTGCCTGAGGCAAACTGGACACTAATGTATGAAGACATTCAAGCAGGAACACTATTGTGTGCCCATTTCTTCCACAGCTGCAAAAGAAGAAAAAAAAGGGACACTTGTGATAAAATAAAAATAAGTACAAGATAACTGTCAACTTGAAATAATTTGTAAAAATAATAACCTTTGTGACTCATCCAGTCTGCTTATAATAAACTGCATAATGGGAATGACTTCACTGAAGCAGGATACACCAGCACTCAGCTCAATGCCTGCCACATCCTTTGATCGCCGGGCATTCAGCTCTAGCTCTTGGCATTCCTCCTCTAAAATATCCAAAAATTATGATTAATATACATTTATTTTGAAAATTCACAAGAATATTTCCCAATAAAGAAAACAGGCTCACCTAGAAAGTTACAGAAAGCCCTTAAAGTGTGACTAGTGGCAGTCTGTGCTGCAGTTTGGACAGATTGATTTCCAGATTCGTATGCTTCACCACACAAAGTCAACATTTGGATGATTATGCGCCCATTTACCGTCCAGCTAGGAGAGCAGGCTACATTTAATAAAACCTGTTTTGGGATACAAATGCAAGAGATCAGCATAATACATTTTTAACATGAAGCAAAACACATCTTATGAATATTCAGTATGACTTCTTCACCTTCAGCATGTCCACTTGAGTATCATCTGTGTGGGAAAGCATTGAATTGAAGACGTGAAGGAGTTGTGACGGCAGCCACAGAGAATCGTCTTCTGGTTCAAGATGAGATTGGAATCGATCATCCCGCACAAGTTTCTACCAACAGACCAATTAAAATTATTAGGAACAAAAAGCTCAAACTTGGAGCAAGCTGTAAATGAATTGATGGTTTTCTTACATGTAGCCCAGAGAGGGAAAGAGCTACAAACTTGCTCCGTTTTGTGTCTAAGGCTATTTGCAACGGTAATAGGCACTTTGCCCTTAGTTCATAAGCTGGATCGTGCATGAGGACGGACTGCCGTCCGAGAAAATCTGCAACACATCAAAATTTAATTTCATTAGCATCAAGGAACGAGGGGGAGGTGCATTCACAATCCACAACAACTCAAACTGGTTCAAAGGGTATTCTTTAACTGGTACAATTTGACTAACGGAAGCGTTCCAACAAAACGAGCATAAACTGGGTTGATTGAAAAATGTACGAAATCCAGTTCCACGTCCAGTTATTCTCAGAAATATTGAAAATTTGGTCGAAAATCCCCGATTATGACTCACCGTATGCTTCCTGAGCCGCTGTTCTGAGTGGGGCTAGCTTGGCCCCGCCAGCCTCTTTCACGAGTTGCAAGAGCAAGTCCTCCATTGTCACGTATTCCGACCGCACAAAAATTTGCTTAAAACCTAAAGTTACACTGATCTTGGGAAAAACTTTCAATTTTGAGGAGTTTCATGTCGGTTGACAGCAACAGACTGTCAAAAACACCTGCTGTAGCTGTAAACACCGCCGCTTGTCTCCACTGAAGCTGTCTGCTAGCCAGCACCAACTTAACCACAATAAAATTTCCCTTTTGCGTCTTGAAAATTTCCCTGATTTCGCAGGTTAATACCTCTGCATTGCTTAAATGATATTCCTACATTCATTTGAATATTTTGTATCATATTTTGATTATTCTCTTCAAAGCCGAAAGCCAAAAAGGCTTGTCGGCTGCTAGGCTTTATTCACAGAAATCAGTCACCATTATTGGCAGAGCGCAACAAATGTCAACAGAGTGTGTTTGTTGTGGTTAGATCCGATTAACAATTTACATCTTATTTTTCCCCTTTCTCCACCTTCTTGATCAACAATGATTAAGGTGTCAGTTTCCAAAGAGGGTACACCATTAATTTGGAATGCTCAAGGTAAAAATCACTTCATCAAACTACATCAAACCAGTGTGAGGGATAATGTCGATTGTATGACTACTTGTTCATAATCTTTCATTTTTCTTGTAGATTGGCTAAAAATCCGAGAGGAGCATCGTATTGTTGGATCATTGATTGGAGTTCTGCCGAACCTCTCAAATCAAGAGGCTTTACATGGCTTGCCAATGTCTCTTCTGCCTGAAGAAGCCACGTTGCTCTTAGAAATGAATGTAATTTCTTTAGCTAACTACCCATCCCTGAGCCGCTGTCCTGGAGAAGGAGTTGTCAAGGCCTTTAAGGCTCATCGTCAAAAGACTTATGCAGAACAGGTTTGTGCTATTTACCATTTGTTTCTGTTACATATTTATTGTTTGTCTTACTTATGCTTTTATTTTATTTACATGCAGGCAGATAAAATGAAGGACGAACGAAAAGTGGCTTTGGAGGGGCTTGTAGACAAAATTGTTGAAGGACGTAGACGGAAGCAGCTGGGGCTGGATACCAAAAAGAAGAAACGAAAGAAAGTTAAGAGCGAGGGTAATGATGAAGAGACAGATGATAAAAGTGAAGACGTGGCAAAAATTGTTGAACTGTTAAAACCTATTGAAGATGCAGAGAGACAAGCTGTTCTTGAAGAGGAGTTGGCCAAAATTCCACCATTATCCAAAGAAAACACTCTTATTCAGACATTTACAAGTAAGGCTAGTGTTACTCAAATGTGTAACATTGACCTTGCAATTTCTTAATCAATTTTGGTCTGATTACAGCATATCCCTGGTTGCGTGCTGAGGATGCTTGCCCTGTTGCTTGGACATTTCCCAGTTCTCATGAAGAGAAAATAAGATATTTAACTTTCAAAGATCTATGGGAAAAAGGTTATTTCATAACAACTGGGCACAAGTTCGGGGGAGACTTTTTAGTATATCCAGGTAAAACTTAAAAGAAATGTTCTATTTTACCTTAAATAGTTTATCCTTATGTTTTTTAATTATTAAAAAAAAATCTTTTTAAAAATTTTAGGTGACCCTGTGAAGTTTCACTCTCAATTCATCGTAGTGTGTGTTCCACACTCGCAAACCTTCTCTGTTCATCAATTTGTCACATATGGTAGAATTGGTTCCTCCGTGAGAAAAACTTTTGTGCTAGCTTCTCTCCCACCAGACTCATCAAAAATAAGTTACCAGTCAATAAAGTGGGCTGGAGGGCCTACCATGAATTTAAACTAGCTGTTCAACATTCAAAATACTAGTTAATAAAATTTGTTTGATATTTTTTAGTCATGGCATTATTTTTGAAACTTCTTGATTCAATAAACAAGGGGGGAAGTAAACATTACGTTTTCCGGTACGACTATGCCTCGATGACTGGTCTTCGATGATGATCTGTGGTCTGGCCTGTCTGGCCGCCGCTTCCCTTTCAAACTTTGCCGCCAAAGGGAATGACAAAAGAAAGCTCGGCTCCCTTATTTGCACAACGCGTACTGCCAATAACCAGGTGGGCCTGCTTCTTGAAAGCGGTTTTCTCTGCGTTCGGTTGAAATGGCTGATTTTTCGGACGACCTGTTCAGCGTTTTTGATCAAAATACAGAAAATGGGCATGTGCCTGAAGTACCAGTACCATCAAGGGAGGCGCCCTCCACATCAGCGGCTTTCAAATCAAAGTATGTCCAATGTTTATCACCAATGGAACTTACCTAACCTCTCTTGAAAGCACGTTGGCTTGTTTTGATTATGTGAACATTAAAGAAACGTCGTATTTACTTTTGCAAGTGAAAGACAATTCTTGGTAATCCTTTAGAATACATTTACTTGTTGCCGCTGAAGTATATTTGACCTGGCTTGCATCTTCAAAACTGTTAATTGATGTTGTTTGTTGAACTCTAACCAAGAATCAATGTCAAAGATTTTCCATAGTTTCCTTGTCATACTAGATAGTGACAGTTTTCACCTGAAACGACACCACCTTGAATCTAAATTTTCATGTTCTTACTGCTTCTATTTGCTGTCATCTTACTTGTGTTTTGCATTTGCAGATCGGGCTCTACAGATACCAAGTCAGCTGCAGTCGTTAAAAGAGAGTTCCCTGATGACGATGAAGATGAGGGAAACAGTAAAAAGACAAAGCTAGAGGGACTGATTGACGACATCAAGTAAGTGCCTTTGCTGTACTTGGTATTATTTTTCACTGGATCCTTGTTCTTATACTCACCTTGCTTTTGCCAGTCTGGAAGAAATCAGTTCACGCATCAAAGTGCATACTGTTGAAACTGTAGGAGGTTGTGTCCATGAAGTTGCAGTGCCACCAGATGTGGAATATGTCCCACTGAAGGCATCGACAGGCAAACCAGCCAAAGAGTACGCATTTGTTCTGGACCCTTTTCAAAATGAGGCTATTATGTGCATTGAGAACAATCAATCTGTACTTGTCTCCGCACACACATCTGCAGGAAAAACTGTCACAGCTGAGTGAGTACATTGTTCACCTTTTTTTACCTTCCTAAATTTTATATTTTACTTGTAATTAGATTATTCATGTAACTTTTATCTTTGGTCTTTTTTTTCAGGTATGCTATTGCTCAATCTTTGCGAGATAAGCAAAGAGTAATCTATACAACACCTATCAAAGCCCTGAGTAACCAGAAATACCGTGAATTCTATGAGGAGTTCAAAGATGTTGGCTTGGTGACTGGAGATGTCACAATTAACCCATCAGCATCATGCCTCATTATGACAACTGAGGTATTTTCCACTTTTCTTCTGTTTCTGTTTGGTTCTTTATTTGGTTGATGTGTTTTATCTTACCCATTTTTATCCCCTCCAGATTTTGAGGAACATGTTGTACCGAGGTTCTGAAATTATGAGGGAAGTCGGTTGGGTGATTTTTGATGAAATCCATTACATGAGAGACAAAGAGCGAGGTGTTGTCTGGGAAGAAACTTTGATCCTGCTTCCAGACAATGTTCACTATGTGTTTCTCTCTGCTACAATTCCCAATGCTCGTCAATTCGCCGAGTGGGTCGTCCACCTTCACCACCAGCCATGCCATGTGGTCTACACAGACTATCGTCCTGTTCCATTGCAACACTACATATTCCCAAATGGAGGAGATGGAATTCATCTCGTTGTAGATGAAAACGTGTGTATTGTCCTCAAACTCATCTGTCTATTCAATTTCTGATTTTTAGTGATGACTCAAGTCTTGTCTCATAATTTACAGGGTCAATTTAAAGAGGAAAATTTTAACACAGCCATGTCTGTCTTGGCCAAAGCTGGTGACAATGCCAAAGCACCAGAGCGTGGCCGCAGGGGTGGTGTCAAAGGAGGAAATGATACAAGTTGCTTCAAAATTGTCAAAATGATTATGGAAAGAAATTTTGCTCCTGTTATCATTTTCTCCTTCAGTAAAAAGGACTGTGAACTTTATGCTATGCAAATGGCAAAGCTGGATTTTAATAGTTTGGAGGATAAGAAGCTTGTTGATGAAGTTTTCAACAATGCTATGGATGTGCTCTCAGAAGAAGACAAAATGTTGCCTCAAGTTGAAAATGTTTTACCTCTTTTGAGACGTGGTATAGGTATCCATCATGGAGGTAATGATTTCAGTCTTTATCTAATATTTTTATGACCACTCTATCTTTGTTCTTATTTAGGTTATGCTTTCATTTTTATATTTCTGTTCCTTTGCCAGGTTTACTCCCGATTTTAAAGGAAACCATTGAAATTCTTTTTGCGGAAGGTCTTATCAAAGCTTTGTTTGCTACTGAAACATTTGCCATGGGCCTGAACATGCCTGCAAGAACTGTAATGTTCACTGGAATGAGAAAGTTTGATGGAAAAGATTTCAGATGGGTAAATATTTGTATTGATTTAGCAGTCTGAAATCCTTGCATAGTTCATGTAATTACTATACTGGTTAAAATCTTGCCACAGGTCACATCTGGAGAATACATTCAGATGTCTGGAAGAGCTGGCCGAAGAGGTCTTGATGAGAAAGGTATTGTCATCCTGATGGTGGATGAGGCTGTCTCCCCTGAAGTGGGTCGTGATATGGTTCAGGGCCTACCGGATCCCATCAATTCCGCTTTCCATCTTACATATAACATGGTCCTCAACCTTTTACGAGTGGAGGAAATTAATCCAGAGTACATGCTGGAGAGAAGTTTCTTCCAATTCCAAAATCATTCAATCATTCCAGATCTTTATCAAAGTACGTACAGCTAGTAAATTTTATTTTACTTTTGTTATGTGTGGCATCCAACATTTATTCATTAACTTGGATTTTCAGAGGTTTGTCAACTGCAACAAGAATTCGAAGGAGTTGTTGTTCCAAAAGAGGCCCAGGCAGAGTCGTATTATCACATCCGTACTCAACTTGAAAACCTAGGGAAGGTGTATCAGAGCTACGTTACTCAGCCACAGTATTTGATTCCATTCCTGCAGCCAGGCCGAATGGTGAAGGTATGTCAATCAGTATAATCATATTAAAGTTCAAATTTTTAAAAAAATAGTCATTTTTAGACCACAAAATAATATGTTTTTGTTTTTTACCAGATAAAGCATGATAATGATGAATATGATTGGGGCATAATCATAAACTTCAAGAAGCAAGATGTTCAGTCAGGGCGAGGCCGAGGCCGTGGAGGACACTCCAACCCGTCTCGCGAACCGCCGCAAGTCATCGTTGAAGTGCTTCTCCATGTGTCTGGAGAAGATGACCAGCCTACCAAACCGTGTCCTGCTGGTGCAACGGGAGACATGGAAGTGGTCCCTGTCCTTAGCTCTTTGATAACCAAAATTAGTTCCTTGAGGATACACTATCCTAAGGACTTGCGTCCCCCAGATAACAGGAAATCAGTCCACAAAACATTGCAGGTCAGTATTAGCTGTGTTCCTAAAGATTGCTGTGGACTTATCTGATTGTGTCTTTATCACGGACTTGTGTTTGTTTTTTTATAGGAAGTGAAAAAGAGGTTCACTGATGGGCCCCCTCTTCTCAATCCAGTCACTGATATGCATATTAAGGATGATGTATTTTTGGACTCTGTGAGGCAGATTGAAACCTACGAGCAGCGTTTGTATGCTCACCCCCTTCACAAAAGTGAGGACCTCCAGCATATTTATGCTTTGTACCTGAAAAAAGTTGAAGTAAGTTCAAGCAGGAAACCTACTCGAATACTGTATCAATTCTATGTTTTCATGCTGTTACCTCCAACAACTTTCTTTCTTCTCCTCTGTCAGATTGGCAATCAACTGAAGCTTGCTAAGGGTGAATTAAAACATGCAAAATCTTTGTTGCACATGGATGAACTTAAATGCAGAAAAAGAATTCTCAGAAGATTAGGTTATTGCACTGATGGTGATGTAATTGAACTCAAGGGAAGGGTAGCCTGCGAACTTAGTGGGTGAGTGTTACTATTGCAATACCTTCTTTTGGGCATTGGTTTTCGGACACTCACATTTATCAAATTTCTGTTCTCTATAGGTGTGATGAGTTGTTGATGACTGAAATGATTTTCAACGGCTTGTTTAATGATTTGACTGTGCCACAGTGTGTGTCACTCATCAGTTGTTTTGTTTGTGACGAAAAGAGTTCTCAGAATCCAAAGAAATCTGAAGAATTATCTGGACCTCTCAGACAAATGCAGGTGAGAACAATTTTAACACTTCTTTCCTAAGACAAGATCTAGTGGATTATTGGTAGTAAACTCATTAAAATATTTTGCAGGATTTGGCCAGAAGAATAGCCAAAGTGAGCTCAGAGGCAAAGTTAGAAATTGTTGAAGATGATTACGTTAGTCAATTTAAGCCATTTTTGATGGATGTAGTTTATTCATGGTGTAATGGTGCATCATTTCTTGAGATTTGCAAGATGACTGATATTTTTGAAGGTAAGGTCATTTTAAACTGAGCTATTTGGTAAATAAAGAACTTCTTTAACTTTGTTTTCTGTACATTTTACAGGCAGCATCATTCGTTGTATGAGAAGACTTGAAGAAGTGCTGCGACAACTGTGTCAGGCAGCTAAAAACATAGGAAACACCAACCTTGAAAACAAATTCAGTGAAGGAATCAAACTAATGAAGAGGGACATTGTTTTTGCTGCCAGTTTGTACCTATGATTTCTTATCTGTACTTTCCAAATTGCAGAGTTGTCTTTCGGACATATTTATACATGAGATATAAACTTATGCTTTTTTCTCAAGATCACTGATGCATTTTTGTTACCTAACTTTATCTCTTGTGCCAGAATAAATTTCATGAATTCAGTCGATTTTAATCAATAGGACACAGTTTTGTTACATTTTCGATTGCTATTAAAGTAAATTATCTTAAATCTTGTCCTATGTGTTCAGACCTTCACCTTAAAGAATTAGAACCGTTTGACATTTTGAACAAAAAATCTCATTCAACGAACGTTAATGAAAGCAGATGATACTCGTTTGTTTTTCTTCTACGGGGTAGAATGGGCTCATTCCAAAGATAGTAAAAACTGAATCCTTTGTACCGCCGCGCCGTGCCCGTTGGATTGCGAGCACCCGGTGCATCTGCGCTGTAGCGGGGAGGGATTGTCAATGCTGCGCGCAGGCCGTCGCGCGCGAGGAGGGGGTGCCATTGTCGAATTCCGCGCAGGCTGCGCCTCACCGCCAGACACACCAGCCCGCCCCGGCAGCCAGCCCCTATTATATTGTTAGGATACGCACTTGGTTTTTGGACTCTCGAGTAAAAGCTAGCTGACACCTTTATGTTTCTTGTAGTTGTAGTTTTAGGTATGTTTTTAAGTAAAGGTATCATCTGCTAAAAAAGGAAAAGGGGGGGGGGGGCAATTTCTGAATTGAAGGATTTTGAGAGCAAAGAATGATTTTCTGTTTTGAGACCGCTCGAAAGATATGAGTACTCCCAGGAGTGCATACGACACGACCCTCGTCTGCTCGCGCTCGCTTCACGCGCTGTACCCGCGTCTGGGCCGTGCTGGTGCCGCCTGCCTGCCGCCTGCCGCCGTGTTGCACACACAATACACGTGCTCGACTCGGCGGAGTGTACACTGTACACCTTTCCGGCTCCGACGCAGCCCCGTGACACCGCCACTGGACCGGCACGCTACCCCACGTGTCCTGCCTCCTGCCAGCGGAGTGAGTCGTTTAGGCCAACTATTTCTCTCGCACCGCAACGGGGCGCCCCATGAGTGCAACGGAGACAGCGACAAACGCGTCTATCGAAATGAGTCTGCAGGTGCCCAGGATGCACACTATCTGTCTAGAGTGCCGGGCCGGTCTGCAGCAAGACCGCGCCACGGCCACCAATAACGGATGTTTGTTAGAAGGTTGTCTAGCACGCCGGTGCCAATGAACAACGACCACCACGCCGGGACAGCCGGCCCGGACCGACTCCTGTTCGCACGCGGGCAGCACGTGGACAGCCAAGTAAAACAACTACGCGTGGAGATCGGGACTAGGAGGACTAATTAATTTGACTGGATGACAAGCATCATCTCTGTCTGCCCTTTCTAGGGCACGCGGCACGGCACTGTCTCTCTGTTGACACTTTAAACGTTTCCTTGTTTACCCGGGCACTCTCCCAACACTCCTGTAGTTTTCCAAATTTTTCGCAACCATTATGTGTGAAAATTGATAGTTAATTGTGTTGGAGAGGCCGGGAATGACTTGGTGCTTAACTTTCTCAATGAAGAGGACTTTCCAGAAAGGGGTACTGGCTAGCTCAAAAGCTGAGTCGGGCGTCCCTGGTTTCCTGCAGGCCATGGCGGGGCGCGAGGCTGGCGGCTTCCGTCGTTAGTGGTCTCAAAACAAGACTGGTTCCTACCAGAACGGGGCGCGGCGCGGCGCCCGGGCCGCAGCCCGCCCGGGCAGACTAGTTAGCATGCACTCATCAACGGCGACAATCACTGCAGGAAATAACCACAACAAAAGTACACAAATTTCTGGCAAATTTTTTATCAGGTTTATTGACTTCAAAGTACAACAATTGTTGTACAAGTACAATGGAACCGGCATGACGAGTGCTGGGCAGTGCAGGCCTCGTTGTGGTTTGTACAGTTCTCGTTGTACTTTCTACAATCCCTGTTGTACTTTTATTGTACAGTTTTTGTTGTACATTTGTTGTACTCTTCACACTTTTTCTTGCAGTGATTAGAGTGGGCGTGCTATCCAGAGCCGTCCGGACCGCGGACCTCGCGTCGCGGCAGCACCTTGCCGGACCTTGCGCACAGTTTGGCGCCAAAACGCGCTGAAACCGACCGGAAGGCCGTGAAAACCGCGCTAAAACGGCCAGTCTGCAGTGGCCAGCGAAAGCCTTGCTTGTCTTGTCCGCCTGCAGGGCTGATTCGGAGTGTGCTGTCGCCGTTCTGTCTCTCTCGCACCCATGGGGCGTCCCGTGGGGGTGCGAGAGAGACCGCTGAGTTGTTGTCGGCGCCGAGTCAACGCCGCCGCTATCAGCTACTCACCCGTGTCTGGCTTGGGCTTGGCTCTGGCCTGGCTGGCTCGGGGACGGGCCCGCCCGCTCCGCTTCCTGTCTCATTTTTCCAGCCGCCATTTCCGCGCCAAAATGCCAAAATGGACTCGCGTTTTTACTCGTGTTTTGGAGCGCGCGGGAAAAAGACGCGGCTTTCGATCGAGTTGATCGAGAGTCTGTCTCTCCGCCCGGTGGCCTCCCAAAGAACACGAAACAGTCACGGTGACATCAAAAGGACATCATTTTGATGGTTTTTTCGTCAAGGTGTGACTCGAATGACTGCGTGTGACTTCTTAGTGACTTCAAGAATCAGCCTTGACCGACGCGTGACATGATTGTGACATAGACGTTTAAGTACTGAGAAAAACATTTGCAACTAGATAGGAGTCCAATATAGAGTTAGAAAGTAGATCTTCAGTATCCATTCTCTGCATAAAGACAGATAGTTGTGTCGCATGTCAACGCGAGGTCAAACATGTGTCATGGGCCAACTGCCGCTACCTGCCGGTAGGTGGCGCGCGGCACTCATAAGGCTCCTCCACAAAGCTTTTAGTTAGAAAAAGTTATTTGAAAAAGAACCACACCCGAAAACGGCCGTCTAAATGCTTAATGGCGGTTGTTCTCAAATGTAGGCAAAATGAGCGTACTCAAATATGTCCCATTGACCAAGAATAATGGAAGTATTACTTTCTCTCGCTGACGTCTACACTCTGCTCTGAGGTAAAAGCGCCCCCTGCCTCGGCCCGCGCCGGTGCTTCTGCTCCCCAAAGAGGTGGAAATTGAACCACCAATTTTTGACAAGAGCTTCCTCTGGGAGGTGACTCAATGTGCCTTACCTTATAGGTCCGCCATGGAGTCCTCCAAACAAATGTTGATTCAGAAAAGAGTCAAAATGACATCATTTTGATGTCACATTGACGTCAAAATTTCAGCAAAAAAATAGTCATTTTGACATTTCTCTCCGTGACTAAATTTTGACGTCACCGTGACGTCATCGTGACTATTTCGTGTTCTTTGGGCTGGCAGCGTGCCAGCCACCGCGGCTGATAACTTACCTCGTGATGGGCCCGTGGTGTGACAGAAACAGACGAGTCATCAAACAGAGACAGGATTACACCCGTGGCAGCGGTAGCAGCGCAGGGCTTCGTCCTTTGGATAGAGGGGGCCTCGCTCGCGGGCCGGTCGGCGGGGGCGCCAGAAAACAAAGAAAAAGCAAATTGGTTGCGTTTTCTTTCCAATGCGGTTGCTGCGCGTGGCTGGCGAGCCGTGGCGTTGTCGTAACAGGTCAGTCCGCCCTGGGCGGCAGCGTGCCAGCCACCGCGGCTGATAACCTTACCTCGTGATGGGGGGCCCGTGGTGTGAAGAAACAGACGAGTCATCAAACAGAGCAGTATTACACCCGTGGCGCGGTAGCAGCGCAGGGCTTCGTCCTTTGGATAGAGGAGGCCTCGCTCGCGGGCCGGTCGGCGGGGGCGCCAGAAAACAAAGAAAAAGCAAATTGGTTGCGTTTTCTTTCCAATGCGGTTGCTGCGCGTGGCTGGCGATGCCTGGCGATTGGCTCGTAAACAGGTAAACAAGTCCACCCTGGGGAGCCAGGGAGCCACTGCCCCGCGCGTCGCGTAGCGTCGCGGACATCCGTCAAGCCGTTCGAGCAGGAGACAGGGGAGCACACTATGCCCCTACACGTTTGGAGCCAATTTACTTTGGTCGTCCTTAGAGTTTTAATCAAAAAATGCTAATATTTTTTAGAGTTTTGAAAATCTGACACTATCTACAATGCAGACAAAAATTACTGTAGAAACGAAAAAAGGACGTTTAATACGCATGCAACGTTGTGCAACCTGAATTTTCGGAAGTCTCATCAGAGTGCAAGGTGCCCTGATGTGGGGCGTTCGTGTCCAAACTGTGAGCTGGTTTGTTTTCTTTGGCCGCGCGTGTTTTGAAACGCAGACGTTGCGTAGTTTGTGTAGGACGGCGGACGGCAGATTTTCGCACTTAAGAAAATGTGTTTTCCCAGTCGCATGACAACGGCCTGCCTGCCTGCCGGTCGGTCCCTCGGCTCGGCTTTGTTGCCAGCCCAGTCAGCCCCGCTGATTGTTTGCCGTAAACAAGACGACACTGTCGCCAGCTCGGCCTGCTCCACCCTTCCTGCGAGCGCGTGCTGGGCAGGTGACCCTCCATTTGACCTCCCATAAGGCTCGGGGAGTGACCAATCCAATTTCTATATCTTGTGAACGGAGGCCGCTCTGGGCTAGACTAGACGCACAGCATAGCAAAAATTCGGGACTTTTAATGCCAAATCATTCGGCATGGACACCCAACATTTGAATTTTTGTCGCAAGTTTGCTCTCCTTTATTTAGAGGGGGAAAGCTTTCCGTCGTCCGGGCTCGAGGCGCAAAAGCAAAAGTCGTGGACTAGCGCAATAAGTTTTCCCTTCCCTCCTGTCTTGCTTGTCTTGCTCGTCGTGCGGCCTTTCATTTTCGGAGCGTGCTGTCTTCGTCTTATCGCTTCAAGACCGGCGGCCTGGCGGCCTGGCGGCTCCGAACGCAACGAGGGCGACGTGGTGATAGCAGCACTCCAGCGCGGCGGCGTGGCGTGGCCGGGCTGGCGTAGGCTGGCGGGTAGCGACGCTCCTCGACGGGTACTACCCGCTGACCCCGATCGGCACAGGCACCACAGGTACCACGGGCATCACGGACAAGGGCAGGCTCACCTTCAAGGAGCCATCACTCCGCCTGCCGCGCGGCGTCGCCCCGATTTCGTACGGCCCAGGCCAGGAGCCTCTGAGGCAACAACCAACGCAGCGCCCCTCCATTCCAGCCGTTCGAATTCCCATCGAAAATGACCACGATTGAACACCTCATTTTTGGCCAATTTCTATGATGTATGGGTGGGCACGAACTACGGCCGAGGCTTTCTAGAAACGAACGACAAAAGCTGTCTTTGGCCGGAAACAGAGCGAAGACCGCAGCGTCCTAATCAATGGGGCCGTATGCACGCCAAGCCATGCTTGCGAGCAGACACAATGCGAGTGTGTGTGTCTTTTGTGTATCTGCTTCCAGCGCTAACTGTACACTGTACACGCGCTGCGCCGCGCTCGGCCTTCAGACCACAATCCTTTCTCCTCAATGTGAAGGCCGATGCGCTCGCCGTGGCGCCGCGGAGCTTGCGACACTCCCCCCAGTCCCTTCCTAGTCGATCCGCGTTTTATACGAGAATCAATCAATTCTTTTTTGCTGCTTCATTTATTTTTGTGTCAGATCGCGTGCGGTGTCGTGATAGGTAGAAGCGGACAGGAATGATGGCTGGAAAAGATCGACTGTGGATAGCAGCGTCTATGAATTTTTAAATTTTATCCCCCTTTATTGAATAATTGATTGTCACATTGTACCGACGAGTTCATCGTTGAGATTTTAGGCGGATTTCTCAGGTCTCTTTTAGGCCACCGCTTTCGATGTAGTTTGGTTGTATGGATCGGGAGAGTGCATTCACAAAATCAACATAAAAACGTTAAGTTTATTTTTTATTGTTCGAAAAAGTATTAAGTTGTACACAAGAAAATACAGCTATTCACTACTTTAATACAATACGTTGGACGCAAAGATACAAAACACACAAACAAACAAAAACCAAACAGCAACAGCACAAAACTTACAGTCTAGAATATAAATAACCAGCACCTAGGTAGGCGCAGTAAAAACAATTCAAATATTGTATCACTTTGGTTCGCACGTGCAACGCGCTCATATCACAGACTAACTACACTCATCCGATTAAAAATAATCCACTGCTCATCTTAGGAAGATCATAAAAACTTAACTAAATTATAATATTATAATTGTGAAATGATAAAACGGTATGCGAGAAAGAGAAGGTGAAGATACTGCAAACGCCTGATCCAAAAATTCTACTGAATGAAACACAAACAATTTGTGCTTACTATACCGACGACGAAAAGATTGCTTTGGTACTGTAGCTCATATTAAGAAAGCGACTCTTCACTTAGAAGGGTGCGGAACAAAATTGACGCTTACAAGCGTTTGATCTGACGGCATCCAACCACTGGAAATCAAGGAGGGAAGTCCTGCTTTCGGTTGAAACTGCAGAAGGGCATTCCAAATAAGTGCAAAGTTCGTTCGTGATGCGAAAAATCCGCGTCAAATTGGCATCAGTTTGGTTCCAACTTGAACAAATTGACATCATTTTGACCGCAATTCAGACTCTGAACGGACCCCTCACAGCATCTCCAAAGACCGCACACAAGCACTGCTGGCACAACCGCCCTGACGCTTTCGTTCCAAAGGACTCGACGGCAACGTCCTGGTGGAGTCGAGCTGCCTGCCCTTGGTGACCCGACACGGGAACGACGCACACGTCGAGATTTACACATGGCATGCGTTTCATTGCGGCCGTAAAACGAGACAGACACATGCACCTCGCGGGATGCGCTGTAAAACTGATTTCGCATGATGCTCGCCGTGCCGGCCGCCTAGAACTCGTCGCCCTCCTCCAGGATGGGCTGCGCGCGCAGGGCCTCGGCGACGGTGGCCGTCCTGGCGGTGTCGAAGGCGGAGAGCCACGACTCCAGCTCCTTGGGCGAGTCCGTGAGGAAGGTGAGCGTGTGCGGTGAGTCGCACTGCCGGCTGCGCACCACGAGGCCCGCGTGGTGCTGGTACTGACGGGGCAGCGAGGCCGCGGCCGGGCGCATGGCCTTGCCGTGGACGTGCAGGGCCTTGGCCTCGCCCTTGCCCTTGTCGCCGAGCTTGTCGCCGAGCTTGTCGCCCAGGCCCGGCAGCCGCGACACCTCCGTGTGGCGCAGGTTCACGAAGCCGAGTGGCCGGCACACCTTCTTCTGGGGGTACACCACGGCGAAGTGCTCCAGCGACGTGCGGTACACCTTCACCTGCGGCACAAGAACCAGGTCGTCAACGCGCTGCTCTCGGTGCACTCGGCGGAGGCGGGGAAGTCCCAGACCGCGGAGGAGCGGTACTCGATCGAATGGAACGCAGTAGTATGGAACTCTCCTAGTAGTGGGCCGCCACTTTGGGGCTACCACACTACTGCGCTTGTATCACCGATTCCGAAACCATTTCGTCACTCTGTCGCACTCGCGGAGCGTCTCGTAGGAGTGCGAGAGAGAGACGAAACGACTCCTTGGATCAGCGAACTCCTTGGGCAACGAGTAAGGGCGCGAATGAGGCGGAAAAGGTCGAGTGGCGTCTGCTGCCGAGCCATTCCAAAGGATCGTCTCGTCTCTCTCGCACCCCACTGGCCCTACGGGCGCGCCATGAGTGCGACAGAGACAGAGCGATGAGGCTCGGCTGGCCGAGCAACAAGCCCTCCACGGTCCCACGCCGTCTTGCACGCAACGCCGGGCAACGCAAGGCGCATCGCGGTGCGTCGAAATCGGCGTCTCTCTCTCTCTCTCGCCCGGCATGCCATGGGAAAGTCCTTGCGACCGTGTGAGTCATGCAGTGGGTGGCCCGGACCCATCTGCCACGGCCAAACGCCACGCGGCACAAAACAAGCAGCAACAACAACAACAATATCCGCGCCGTTTTCCAATGCCGATGTTGTTGTTTGTCGCGTAGCGCGTAGCCTGGCGTAGCCCGCGAATAGACTCACACGTGTCGGAAGGGACAATGCAAATTTTTGTCGGCATTTCTTTTTCGAGCGCGGGGTGTCGGTGAGCTGACTGACACCGACCGTCCGTATGGAGATCGGAGCGGTCGAGTCATCGACACCGCCTTGCCTTTTTACTGCTATTGTCGTGTTGTTGTTGTAGTTGTTGTTGACGTTGTTGTTGTCACGATCACGTCACATCGATGGCCCGCGCGTCGCTTTCCAGACTCTTTCGTTCGAGAGGCTTTACCGCCACGGACTTCACACTTTCACCGATGGAGAGGATTTTGTGACGATGGAAACCGAGATAGGTAAGAGAGAGAGAAGGAGAGGGGGGGGGGGGGTTCGTAGGGCATGACTCACGCACACAAAGCGTCACGCTTGGCGCCTTCGGGCCTTCGGCCGGGAGGGGGAAGCCATGAAAGGATGCTGGACTGTACGCGCGGCATTCCCGAGGCATTCCGAAGGCGACAAGACGACACGGTGGAAGGAGACCAGACCGCGCACGTGGAGTCCGCGGAGAAAGACAGTGCGAGAAAGACGCAGAGGAAATCCCGACCTAATTCGAGCTGAGTGAGAAACGAGAGGTCAAAACGTCTCACAGTGGACCGGAAGACCGGTGGAGGTGGACAAAACTATGGGCGCCCCCTGAGCTGCAGAGTCGCTATATGGGACTATCGAACCGAACGTGTGACCTGACCCCACCAATGGATTGCTCTCCGAACGAGCAATCCATTGGTGGGGTCACACGTTCGGTTCGAGTCCCATTTAGCGACTCTGGAGCTCAAAACGCGACCAGAGTTTTGTCCACCTCCGCCGGTCTTCTGGCCCACTGTGGGACGTGCACCGACTTGCAGTGTTGTGAAACGCGCCCGCGGCGTCGTCGGCCGCGAGGCGAAGCGCGAAAACGAAGCGAACCCAAAGCGCAGCTCGCGGCCAGCGACAAGGACGTGTGCATCTCATTTCGGCGCCGCGAAAACAAACCTCGACCATTGTCCTGACGAGCCGAGCCGAGCCGAGCCGAGCCGCCTCGCTGGCCGCTCGCCAGCACAGAAGCGGGTGCCGACCGGCGCACCCGACCCGGCCAACGTTGGGGCGCGCAGTTTGAAAGGGGAGGGGGGGGGGCTTCCCCAACCCAGCATCACAGTTCGTCGTACCGACATGTACACACACACACACACACGCACACACACACACACACACACACACACACACACACACACGCGCGCGCTCACATACAAAGGCGCGTTCGGGGAAACGGGGCCGGAACGCACTTGCACGGTCAAATTGGCCATCCCATGATGAGCAGGGAGGCTGCCGGACGAGCTACCAACCACCGCAGAGCAAAGCCGTGCTGAAACTGGTCCATAAGCAATTCGCGGCGTGTATACAACTGCGTGCGACCCAGATCAAAGCTTCCGCAAAACAACAAAAACAAAAACAAACACCTCTCCGAAACGCCACCACTACCGCCCATCGCCATTGTGTGTGTGAACGCACGCGTTAAAAATACTCGCGTGTTTGAAAACACTGTCCGCGACAGGCCGGGAAAAGGACGAAAGTGAGTAAGGTTAGGCGACGAGGGTTGAGGCTGAAGAAAGATGGAGGGAAGAGAGAGACGGTGAATGAAAGGAAGGAAGGAAGAGGGAGGGGACGGAGGGGACCGCCGCCGTTGTCCTAGTTAATAGACAGCTGGGCAGAAATAGCATGAAACCTCTCGGCCACTTTGTCAGTGGCGCGTTGCGTGAGACTCTTAACCCAAATATTTTCGCGCGGGAGAGAAAATGGTGAAATTTATTGCGAAAAAGAAGGCGGGAAAAGAGGGTGCGATTCAGTCGCTGCTTAAAAATAAATAAATAAAGGCGTGGGCTGGCGCGCAAAACAAGCGTTTATTAGCTCGCAACGCGTAGTGACCTTTTTCTTCTTTTTCCATCATTCGCTCTATTTTCTGCGCGAGCACCGCCAGCGGCGACTAACGTAAAGTGAATGGACTTTCTTCAGGAGCGTGACAGCGAAGTCATTGCAGTCGATACCGCCGCCTACACTGTTGTCCGCAACTTGCACCTCACCGTGAGTCGCGTGTCTCTTAGGAGCACGCGAGCACGCCGCACAGTGGGCCAGAATACCGGTGGAGGCGGCCAAAATTCTAGACGCGTTTTGAGCTCCACAGGCGATAAAACGGGACTCGAACCGAGCGTGTGACCCCACCAATGGATTCCTCGTTCGGAGAGCAATCCGTTGGTGGGGTCACACGTTCGGTTCGAGTCCCATTTAGCGACTCTGGAGCTCAAAACGCGTCCGGAATTTTGGCCGCATCCGCACTGGTCCTCCGGCCCACTGTGCGCCGCTCGAAAGGCTCAGACCAATTATCCCCGCTGTAACGAATCGAATGCCTCGACTTAGTCCGAAAAGGGGGAATGCCGTCCCCGCCATGTGGGAAATGTCTCGCAGACACGTGGGAAATTTCGCGCAAATGAGTTGGCAGCGTGTGACCTGGATTCTGGGGCGTGGTGCTGGCGCTGCTGGCGTTCGGCTACTACACTGTGCAGCGCCTAGCGCGGCCGGCCTGAACGTAACGATGTCGAAATGCCCGACTCGAGGGGTCATCCTGGACCTGGAAGTGCTGCTGTGCCCCGCGCAAGCTCAGTCCGGGTGAGAAATCCAGTTCAAGCACCTCGGAAAAATATTCAAACTTGTTTTTGTCTGTCTTGAGCATGCGGGGCGGTCAAGTTAAGCAGACGCCTTTTGTCGTGAGAACCTCGTCCTTGTCTGCCGAGCGCAGGTTCAAAAGGTTGACTCATTTTCGCGGATTTAGCCCGTGACGACGGCGACTTCCGCTGATTAAGTCGAGAGGCCCTTCGGGTCCCTGCGGGTCTGTCTGAAAGGGCCCTCTGCCCTTATCTCGGTTACGTGCAATGCCCGCCGCGTTACATGACGTAGGCCACCCATTCAGAATTAATCTTAGCTGTTTGGCGCCACTGCAAAAACAAGCTGTTCCCACATTGTTGCCGGGCTGTTACGCCTACTCACTGTGGCTCAGAAGACCGATGGAGGCGGCCAAAACTGTAGACGCGTTTTGAGCTCCAGAGTCGCTAAACGGGATACGAACCGAGCGTGTGACCTCCACCAATCGATTGCTCTCCGAACGAGCAATCCATTGGTGGGGTCACACGTTCGGTTCGAGTCCCATTTAGCGACTCTGGAGCTCAAAACTCGTTGAGTTTTGGCCGCCTCCACCGGTCCTCTGGCCCACTGTGCTACGGACTCTTTCTTCTTTCCCCACTGAGTCCGTCACGCCTGGCCGCAGGGGTTTGGAGGTACCGCAATCGAGTGGCTCTGTCTCTCTCCATCGAGTGAAGGCTCCGTGGGAGGGAGCGAGGCAGGACTCGTCGCGGAGGACGTCGCCATAGGCACGATGATGGCCGGCTCCCGGGGCTTTTCAACAATGCGCGCATGCAGTGAGGGCAATCATTGGCACACGCCAGGAGCTTGGGAAGGGGGGGGAGGAGGAGGGGGGGGGGCGTCGTCGCAAGGCAAGGGTCCGGACGGGGCCACGACTTCCTTGCTGGATTCGCGCGCGTGCGTTCAGCAGGGCCGAAACCCGGCAGCAGGCAGGAACCAGCAGGGGGAAGAATGACTTCCCTGGTTGCATACGCTTGGAGACAGACAGACAGACAGACAGACAGACAGACAGACGGGCAGATACTCACACACTCGCACACTAACACACAGGCAAAGCAGAAACATGCGGGTCTCTTTACCGTTACCGTTCGCTTCTCGCCGCGTTGCAAAAATGAAAACTGCCAATGCGACAGACTGGCAGACAAAAAGAGCCACGGTCACCGCGACCGCTTCTCTTTTTGTCGGCGCGCTCTCTGCGGCGCTCCGCCGCGCTCCGTTCGCGGCGTTGCGAGGCGCCGCCGCCGCCGTTGCGCAACGCCGAGCCATTGGCGACGGTTCGACTCCCGCTGGAGGCCAAACGACTGGCTCCCCGAAGTGGATGGGGCCCTGGGACGCGCATCTGCCGGCCGGTGGTGGCGTCCCTCTCGCACCGGGCGCGCCCCCGGGCACGCTCCGTGAGTGCGACAGAGACGGCTGCATTGTTCCCGGACCGCCTTGCGGTGCTGGCAGTGTGCTTGCGGTAAGGTGGCGCGCGTGCCGATGGCCGAATAGTGCCGGAGGCAGGCCAACGGCAGGCCATGGGTCACGACACTGTGCACGCCGCGCACGGGTCAGCCTTGACGCCGAGCCCCGAAGCACAGTAGGCCAGAAGACCGGCGCAGGCGGCCAAAACTCTAGACGCGTTTTGAGCTCCAGAGTCGCCAAGTGGGACTCGAACCGAGCGTGTGACCCCACCAATGGACTCCTCGTTCGGAGAGCAATCCATTGGTGGGGTCACACGTTCGGTTCGAGTCCCATTCAGCGACTCTGGAGCTCAAAACGCGTCTGGAGTTTCGGCCGCCTCCACCGGTCTTCTGGCCCACTGTGCGAAGGCCCCTCGGACGGCCCGGCCGGGCCACGCCATTCGCCTCACACGGCCTCCCGAGTCGAACGCCGCGCATTGATTATGCACACTGTGATCCGTCAAAAAGCGTCTCGGCTTTGCCGCCCCACTCTTCCCCGCATTTCGTGCCGAGTGGAGTGGAGCTCGCAGGCCGAGACGCCGAGGACGCCACCGCGACACACCCACCAGGGAATTCCTCCAAAGCGACCGGGAAATTACTTCCGCTCCGACAATGACGACTTTCATGCCTTCCAACCGGCCAATTGTATTTCGGAGAAATGCGCGAGCAGCGGCGTTCTGGGGCGGAGCGGGGCGGGGCGGCGTCAACGACGCTACGCCCTACAACAGTTGCCACCATCACCGCTGCTGACAACGGATTGTCGCGGTTTCGTCGGGGAAGGCAAATGAACGGACGGGCAGACAGACAGAGAGACCGACAGTCAGGCAGACAGCTGACCGAGCAGCAGACAGACAGACTCTTTTGTCTGGCAAGGAGGGCTCCGTCCTTGCCGTCCCTTGCAGCTGCGTACGCTGCTCCGGGCTGCAGCTGGAGGAGGGGATCATACGAACCGGATGAATGGATAGCCGACCGCGCCACTGTTCCTGCCGCCCCGCCGCCCCGCCACCCTGCCCCGCCTCTCGTCCCCCCGACGTGTCGCAACACGTTCGCGGAGCCCAACGGACGTCGCTCCAAAAGCAACCCCAGTTTAAAATGTAACACTTTTTCTGGCTCAATTTTTTCACGACCATTTTCGGAACAGTGGCGCAACAAGGCGTTTCGGCGGTGCGACTCCTCGACGGCATCCTGGTCCTTCCGCGGGTGGGCGTCGACGTCGGGGGCGAGGGGCACTCGGTGAAAGTGGCGGCGGGCCGGGGCGCCAGGGCCAGGGATCGACAAATGCACCGCGCGCTTCGCAATCGAGCAATCGAAACGACACGCAATTGGCGACGGTGAGATGCGTTTGTGGGTTCGAATGCTTTGCCTGCTCTCTCTCTCTCTCTGCTGCGATAGTCGGCGTGGTACTCGTCGGTCGTCCAGCGTGCCCGGCCTGGCCGTTTTCATCCGGTACAGTACGCAACGCCACGCCACTGGGAAACCAATGGGAAACCGCGAGCCGAACTAGCACGGAAGTGCGGTCAAGTTCTGGGCCGTTTCTGTCCAAATTGCTCCAAATAGACCGCCGCAGTCCTATCTTTAGCGCGCTTTAGCGGGCACGCGATGCGTCGGTGGCTCGTCGGACTACCTATCAGTGTCCCGGGTGGGTGCCACATGAGTACTTTTGCAACGATGCACCGGCGTTAAAAGGGTTGCCAACTTCAGCCTGCCTTCTGGGCGACTTGGACGCCCACGTATCGCCTAGTAGGCAGGCTGAGGTTGGCAACCCTCTCGACGCCGGCAACACACAGTGGGCCAGAAGACCGCCGCAGGCGGCCAAAACTCCAGACGCGTTTTGAGGTCCAGAGTCGCGAAAGAGGACTCGAACCGAGCGTGTGATCCCACCCATGGATTCCTCGTTCGGAGAGCAATCCGTTGGTGGGGTCTCTGGAGCTCAAAACGCGTCTCGAGTTTTGGCCGCCTGCGTCGGTCTTCTGGCCCACTGTGCAACACTGCCGGAGGGCTCCTCTCACCTGCACGGGCTGCGCGTGCTTGCCGGGGCCCACGAGGATGAGCGAGCCGCTCTTTGCCTCGGTGCCGCACATCTTGACGTCCTGCAGGTAGGCGCCCGGCCTGGCGCCTGGCAGGGCCAGCGAGACGTCCCCCATCGGCATGCTGGGCTGCTTCGCACTGCTTCGCACTGCTTCGCTGCTGTGGCGGGGAAATCCAAGACACGCCTCGGACTGCTTGCTGCACACACACACACACACGCACGCACGAACGCGACACGCGGGGAGGTCTCTCTCACTGTCTCTGTCTCGCTTTCACTGCCGACCGCTCGTTTCGGTGCCTGCAACGCGACTGGCTGGCGGTCTGTGACTGGCTGACTCACAGACAGGAGACCGCGTTGTACGGGCCGCGCCGACGCCCCCCCCCCTCCCCGCGCCAGACCAGCTGATCGAGGAAGGGGGGGGGGGAGGCTGCAGCCAGACGAAGTGGCGCGGCCCGGCACTACTCGCGGGGCCGGCGGCTTAGCGTTAGCGCAAGGTGGGCCAGTGTGATTAAACAACAACAACAACAACCCTTCGGAAAAGTAAAAGTGGGGACCAGGGTCACGAGGCGCACTGCCTCGCACCGCCCGTGCCCGGCACGCAACGGTTCGATCATTCTCACTGGAGGAACGCACTGGAAACGAGTTTCGGCTGGCACCCGTGTGCCCCAGTGATTCTAGGCTGTCCGTGTACGTATCGGTGGGTTGAAGAAAGTGTCTGGCGTGGTTGTGCCGCTGCCGCACAGTGGGCCAGAAGACCGGTGGAGGCGGCCAAGCTAAATGGGACTCGAACCGAACGTGTGACCCCACCAAAGGATTGCTCTCTAAAAGGGGAATCCATTGGTGGGGCAGGGGCGCCGGAAGTGTATTTCCTCAGGGGGGGCAAACAATTTTAAATCCTACGTTCCTAATTCCCCCCCTCCCCCACCAAAAAAGGTGCTTAAAAAGACCCTACTCTTTCATGCACCGCCTCGGGAAGGCTTTGACCGCTGATAGTTTAGGAGCAGTGGTCTCGCAAAAATGGTCAAAAAGTGAATGAATTTCAGAAAATCATCGTTTTTGCTGACTTTGAGCGGTCACTGCATCCAATTTAGTTGCGGTCAAAGGCCTCCCTCGACGCCTTACTATTCTAAAGACCCTACTCTTTCATGCCCCGCCTCGGGAAGGTTTTGACCGCTGATAGTTTGGGAGCAGTGGTCTTGCAAAAATGGTCAAAAAGTGAATGAATTTCAGAAAATCACCGTTTTTGCTGACTTTGAACTGTCACTGCATCCAATTTAGTTGCGGTCAAAGGCCTCCCTCGACGCCTTACTATTCTTAAGACCCTACTCTTTCAGGCCCCGCCTCGGGAAGGCTTTGACCGCTGATAGTTTAGGAGCAGTGGTCTCGCAAAAATGGTCAAAAAGTGAAAGAATTTCAAAAAATCATCGTTTTCGCTGACTTTGAGCGGTCACTGCATCCAATTTAGTTGCGGTCAAAGGCCTCCCTCGACGCCTTACTATCCTAAAGACCCTACTCTTTCATGCCCCGCCTCGGGAAGGCTTTGACCGCTGATAGTTGGAGCAGTGGTCTCGCAAAAATTGTCAAAAGTGATTGAATCCCCGCAAGTATGATTGTCATTTCATTGGATGATGTTGATTATTTCACTGGTTACCAACTAGACGCGCAATGATTATCTTGAGTCGGGTACCCCTTGGAATATGCTGTCCCATTTTTACCCCGTGTCCTATAATTGCTCCAACTGACCCTAGGCTCGATTTTCGCAGCTTCCCACCAAAGTCCAGGGGGGGCGATGCCCCCCCTGCCAAATTCCAGGGGGGGCAGCCTGCCCACCCTGCACCCCACTTCCGGCGCCCCTGTGGTGGGGTCACACGTTCGGTGGGAGTCCCATTTAGAAACTCTGGAGCTAAAAACGCGCCCGGGCTGCCTCCACCGGCCTTCTGGCCCACTGTGTGCCGTGGCACCGGCGTTCCAAGAAGCTACGCACCATCAATGGAACATGCAGTCTGCCGAGGGATTCCGGAAAACAGTTTTATTTGTCTCCCCGTCCCCAGGATACGCCGAGCGACGAAACGGCCCTTCAGAACGCGGCAAGGCTGGATGCTGGCTCGGGGGAATTTCGGTGAGTCTTGGTTCCGCGGAATATCTGCGCTCGTGGAAGGCGCATGGCAGGGAGGCGGGCTTTCTTGGAAAAGGGTCGCGGCACAGCCAGCCGGCACGGCCAGGCGTTGCGCGGCGTGCTCGCTTCCGAGGAACGCGAGCAGCGCCTCGGCAATACCCCGCGCGCTGGGCACGACAAGGCTGCCGCGGGGGGTATCTCGAGCACGGAGTATGTCCGCGCGTCCCGCCTCGCCCGCCTTGCGCCACGGTGTGCTGCCTGCTGCCATTTGACGGAAGTTCAATAGGGTGGAGTATCATTTCTAATGTCGTTTTAAACGGCAATTTTAAAAAAAGAAAATATAAATAATCAAAAGTTAAAGGTGGTCTCTGAAAGTATCAAAATTATTTTGATTTCTGGATGAAACATACTAAAGAAATCTGCAGTCATCCCGGCGTTGATGTAAGATTAATTTTTTTTTCTTTCTTTACGAAATAATTGGGTCAAGTCCTTTGGAGTAACGACACACAATTTTTACTGACGCAAGCACGTGGGCTGTTTTCCGCATCATCAGAACATCATGCATCATAGATGATCAATTTGTCAGTCCGTGCTTCGGGGTCGTTGCGTCCCTAGATTGGAGCACGTTAATTACAATTTTGAGCGCAGAAGGCACTGGACAGTCTTGGCCGACAGTCGCAGTGAGTCGGAAAGAAATGCCTCGAAGGAAGAACAGGCGGTGTCCAGTGGAGGAAGGTTAGTCGAAAAACCGTTTGCGGAGTGTTGGAGAGTAACCGTTCCTGGTTTTGAGACTTGTCGGAGGCTGCAGACACGCGCCTGCACCTGCCCCAGGTGAACCGCGCGCTGTCGGCCGAGCTGGGCATGATGGCGCACCGGCTCGGCCCCGAGCACCCCAAGCCAACCGCCTTCGACGAGGCCGCGTTGTCCAGGTGGGCCCTCGCCGCCTACCGGGTCATGCACAGCCAGAGAGTCATGCGGGCCACAAACGTGTTTCTGCCCGGGTACTATTGCGGTGTGGTGGGCTGGCTGCTGCGGCAGACCTCCTTGAGCGTGAGTAGTCGTCTACTATACCACCGGGTTGGGGGGTATTTAGTACAGATAGAGTATCTATACTACTGACAAGGTGGGGTATCTATACTACTGAGAAGATGGGGTATCTTTACTACTAGGAGGATGAAGGTAAGATGTGCCACCGAGAATACTGGGGTGCTCGATTCACTGTAAACAACTGATGACGCGCCCAAGGCTTCTAGCCTACTGTGTGGACGAAGTTTCTGGCCTTCGCAACTACGTTGAGTGGTTGTACCAGGGATTGTACCACAGTCTGACGGACTCCACCGCGGCCTTCGTCCTCGTGTATGACACCATCTTCCTCATGCGGTATCGAAGGGAGCTTCTATCGTACGTGCAAGAGGCCGTGGAGCTCGCCATGGAGATCGAGGAGTTGATGGCGCCCAGTAAGGTGAGATTCCGGGATCGGCCCTCTGGAAAGGTCGTTGGTAGAGGGGAACTGCAAAAAAGATGGTCCTGCTAGTTGCAGGAGATGGAGAAGGACATCTTGAACACCGCCCACCTGCTGCAATTCATTTTCACTGCCGGTGCGGTGCACGCCTTCGTGACGTTCTTCCTGTTTCTGGTGCCCACCATCGTCAACGGGGAGTCACCGAGCCCCCTCATCGAGAGGAACATCCTCCCGCCCTACGCCAGCACCACCCTGTACTTCTTTCAGGTACCACAGGTTGCATGAGTGACCCCTCTCAGTATAAAAGACTGCTAGATACCATCGCCAAGCTTTTTCTCTGCGCTTCTCAGGACCTCTTCGTGTTCATCGGGGACTCCTGCTACGTGCTGGTGGAGTACGTGCACCTGGGCACCACCCTGGCGGCCAGCCTCATGTTCCGGATGTTGGCGGCCAAGTTCAACTCCGAGAGCCTCAGTGACCAGCAGCTGCGGCATCTGGTGGTCCTGCACCAGCGCCTCGTGGACAACAACAAAGCCCTGCAAGTCCGCTCCACTCGCCACATGATAACTGTGACACAAACAGCAACCCAAATGTTGAACCTTGAGTGATGCCTGCAGCAACGCCTCTCGGGGGTGACCCTGGTGCTGATGTCCTGCGTCATCTCAGGGCTGGTGACGTCCACGATGAGTCTCATGGCACCTGACACGGTCATGTACATGTACCTCATCATGCCGACCCTAGTCTTCATGATCGCACTTAAGTGCTCCGTGGCCGACGAGTTGCTGTCTTGGAGTGCCGCCCTGGCAGACGCGGTGCGTCGTGGCTAGTTCTCTAGGAGGTTCTCTGGGAGGTCTTTGAAAACTAGTGAAATCGTCTGTGCAGGTGTATGCGAGCCCCTGGCTGGGCTCTCCACAAAGCTTTCGCCTCATGATTCTCACCGTGCTCACCAGGGCGCAGCGACCACAGGTACCTGACTGGGCTTAAAACTGGCCAAATTTTAAAAAAAATCAAAAATTTAAAACCTTAATGGGTTACTTATGTCTCCCTACAGATTGTTGCCGTGCGGTTCCTAGGCCGCCTTGACCGACCCATTGCAAGTGAAATATTCAAACGATGGTACACTTTCGTGCAGGTGCTCAGTGAATACCGAGAGAAGTGAACCGTGTGCTGGACAGGTAAGGACATGGCGCAATGACTAGTCACGTCGTTGATAGGTAATCTATTTATTGTCACAGATGAATCAACAAGTTCAGCCTCTTTATGTTTTACCGCCCTACAACAACTACAAGCTTCCTGAACTTCATTCAATTTGAACACTCGATAGCAATCAAGAAATTTAACTAAAGATTGTCTACTGACAACAAAATGATTTTTGTTTAATTTTGCATTCTAGACAAAACAGCACAAAAAGAAATAAAAATAATACATACGTATGGCTCTGATTGCATCTCAGTAATAGTTTGAAAGACTAAGACTAGTTAGATTAAGGTTTGTTTTATTTTTTGTTTTCTGAAATCTTCATACTACGTTTTTCGGTTTTTGTTTATTGGAATTTCCGGAAACAGAGTGATAAGAAATTCGGATGGAGCTACAACAGTTATGCCTTCTGATCAGACGTATAACACATTTTTTTGCATTTCTTAGTTATTTTTTGACAAAACATGCCGTACTCCAATGCCGCGCGAACAAACAGTATTGTTCAATGATGGTGTAAATACTGAACCAAATACCAATGAGCTTCAGATGCATAAAGGCAGCGGGATGCTTGTTAGCAATATGAAATAAATTTAGAGTTACGTAGAATATGCATAGAATAGATTGAGCCAGATTGCTTCAACGCCCCACCCTGTCTTTGTCGACTAAATACCGTATTTCAGCATTATTGGTGGCTGTCGCTCAAAGCGATTAGCTGACAGTGAACGAACTATCATAGTCCAAGGACTGACAAGGAGGAATCAATAAATCTTACGTTATAAGGGAGACGGTACATCATGAATACAAAATGAGAAAATGATATGGAAAATTGAAGAGGGCTATCCAAGGCTACTGAAAATATCAAAACAATTGGAGGATAAGTGACTGTCAATCAATGGGACATTCAATCCACATTGTAAATTTTCAGTTAGGCTAGGTTAAGTCTTCTGTTGGAGGAAACTAAGGAAACATCGGAGGACAAAGCTTTAGAGCCTGTAAATTGTGAAACAGTGCGAATACCAAAAAGACTCTCTTCGGCGTGCCTGTGATATGGAAGAGATATGATGACGTCACAACAATGGATATGTAACTTCTGCAGTTTTTTCTGACGCCTTGGGACATTGAGGCCTTCCCGATGGGTAACAACAGCGATGTTTTGGAAGATAAGCCCGTTCCTTCTACAGCAATAGGTTGGCACTCAAGCGCACTCTACAGTAAGGTACTGAAATCGTCGGAGCGTTCTTTACCTAATTGCATTTTTTTGTAAGGTTAACCACGGGAACTGTTGACAATATGCAGGAGAGAATGGACTGGCTGCATGGGCAACTCAATAATGCAGACCTTAAGCGGCCCGAACATTGCCTTCGCTGTCGTCAGAATCAGCCAACGTTAACAACCAACGGTCCTGGTATCGTGAGGCAATGCAGGAGCAACCGTCAGGGTCCGACAAAACTAAATCGCACCACCAGGCCCATCCCTTCGGTGTCTGGTGCCCGAAGTCGGTCAAATGAGCCATTGGGTGGCTGAGCACTTATCCACTAGTGAGCTTTAATCAACGCGAGATGGTTCCTCTCATAGTACTCGGTGCTCAATAAGACCTAACCATGGCGAAACACTACCCCTAATCGAAGGTGGTTTGCGCAAGGATTTCGCCTCATCGGCTTTAGCGAGGCTCCAGCAAAGGCCCTACAGCCACACAAGAAAATGAATACAAAAGAGGATATCATCGTTACGACGAATGAAAATAGAGTTTTTAAAGCTTATAAACTAAATTACATTTTAAGTCTTCTTACACATTTAAAGCGTTTATAGCGCGGCCCAACAGTTTTATTGAGATTGTGACGCATTCCCATCTGTAAAGGAGGCCACTGTGATGTCAGAGCTACGCCAAATCAGCAGCATTTCCGCAAAAGTGGCGTCGAATTGACATCGCCTTCATTAACGGTTCTTTACTGGAACTCAACGACTGCTAACGAGAACGTGTTAGCCAATGAGAACACGTCAGCCAAACGTGATAGTCAAGTCCATGACGCTCTCGCCTTCTACGCTCGCTTCGCGCTATAGCTTCGAAACATCCTCGACGTTAGCAATCCGTTTGAATCTACTAGGCGCGCTGCTCGCTAACTGCAGCAACAGGGAGACTTAAAACCTATGGTAAAGACGCCCCAAAACATAGATACGAGTTGAGTATATATAATTATATAGTAAAGTGTTGCTATCACGCTAATCCCGACACCCAGACCAACCTTTGCACGTTTTAGAATGACCTGCTGAATGTTTTTTTAATTTTTGAAAAAAGGCAATGAGGCCGTAAAGAAGGTTTGACTGAAAAAAATACAGAGCTCGCAGGCCGAGCAAAAACCTAAATGCAGTTTGCCTGAAAATAAAAAAGAATTCTGAAAGTCTCAGTTCATTTTGTGTTATTGTCTCTTTATGTCACCATGAAGATTAAAAAGTTATCCTACTACATTCCCCACTATCACAAGGAGACCAGTCCAATTAAATTCAAGTTATTGTCAGTTTCGTCCTAAAAATTTCGTACCGTAATTGACCACTAATTTCAACACACCACAAGGGTGCACAAGATTTTTTTTTTTGTTTGCCCAAAAGTTTTGACGTACCGAGGCACGCTGTTAGTAGATTCAAAGTAGAAATATTTGAAACAAAAAGGAGAAGCTGCGCTGTAGCGTAATAGAAGAACATCCTGAGCATGATCTTGGTATGACGTTCTCAGAAGTGCTGAAAAGATCTCTGTAAAGTTCATCAACCACGAGGCAAACAAACTCACCCGATTTGTTTGACAGAACATGCGGTGCTCAACAAAATTTAGTGCAAGACCAAAAAAACTGGAGTGCCAAGTGCCATAAAAGCATGCGTGAAGGACGTGCATTCGAGTTTATCCTCCCCAAAAGTAAAACTCATTGCTAAATGTGCTAGGGTGCCTCTCCTCAGCCAGTGGCTCTCTCTTCCTCGCAGATCGGCCTCGCCTGACTGCAGGCCGCAGGGGCCGCAGGGTTCACGCCTCCGACAGTCGGGCGTCGCTGGAGGCGCTCCAAACCCCGGTTCCGAGGGGCCCTCCTGCCCCTCCCGGCGACTGCAGGGTCTGCAGGGTGGCCGTCAGTGCGTGCAGCGGGCGCTCTGGCGCGGTAGCCACGCACACATTGCGCGCACAGATATGTCGTTACGTGATATCGTTGGAAACGTTGACACGATGAGGTGTCGGGGCGGGCGGGGCACGGCGGACGCCCTGGGGGCGCTGGGGGCAGCCGGCAGGGGTGGGGAGGGGGCTCTCTCCCCTGGGGCTCTCTCAGGGAAGCACAGCGCCCCCGGAAGCACGCCCACGGTGGGTGTGGCGGGGCGTGGCGGGGTGCGGCGGGGCGTGGCGGGGTGCGGCGCGCTGCCTGGCGGGGCGTGGCGGTAGGGGCGTGCTGCGGGTGCTGCAGGGTGCTGGGGACGGCCAGTAGGCGTGGTACGCGTGCATGGGTGCGCTGCCCCTCCGCTACGGTGCGTGGTGCCCGGGGGTGTCCTTGAAGGGTGGCCGTCGACCGGGCAGGCCCTGGTCGCCGCGGCCGGTGCATGTGCTGGTGGTTGCGTGACAGTGACGGTGCGAGGACTGCGAGGGGTGGCGGGGGGCTAGCTGACCTGCCAGGCTGCGTCTTGGAGTGCTTCGCGTGCGGCGCGTGCGGCGCCCTGTACCTGCGGTACCTTTGGTACTGGCGGTACCTGCCCACTAGGGGCGACGCTACGCTTGACGCGCTTGACGCTGCGCTGCCCTGCTACCGTCACCAGGGCTCGTCCGCGACCTCCTCCTCGTCCACCTGCGGGACGGACACATTACATGACGTACTGGCTGGCGTCCGCCGCGGCCTCGTCCACCACTACCTGCTGCTCGGCCTGGGCGGCCTCGGCGGCGACCTCGGCGGTCTCGGCGGGCTCACTGCTGCGCTTGGCGCCGGCCGAGGCGCGGACGAGGTCCAGCGAGGAGGCCGGCCCGTTGAGCACGCGCCCGAAGTGCGGCTTGGAGTTGTCTTTGAGCTGGCGCGCCGCCGCCGCCTCCTCGGCCAGGCGCTGCTCCTGCAGCTCGCGCATCCGCTCCTGCCGGATCATCTCCTGCAAGGCAAGTCAGACACCGTACTGCTTTGCGAGTGGGCCAGAAGACCGGTGGAGGTGGCCAAAACTCTAGACGCGTGCAGAGCTCCAGAGTCGCTAAGCAGGACTCGAACCGAACGTGTGACCCCACCAATGGATTCCTTGTTCGGAGCGCTATCCATTGGTGGGGTCACACGTTCATTTCGAGCCCTTTTTAGCGACTCTGAGCTCCACCGGCCTTCTGGCAAATCCACTGTGCCAGTGCCACCTTGCTGCCCACCTTGAGGTGCTGGAAGCTCCCCGTCTGCTGCGGGGGGAGCCCTCCGCCCGAGATCCTGGCCGTCCGGTGGGGCTGCCCGTTGTACATCCTGCCCGAGTCCTCGTACGTCCTGATCCTGCCGGCGGGGCTGTTCCTCCAGCGCGGCGGGCTGTTCTGCACGATGCGGCCGTAGACGGGCCCCGGGTACACGGGCCTCGCGCCGCTGCGGGACCGCACGCTGCCGAAGTCCGGGACGCCTAGAGCACGACGTTGGAGAGTCAAGTTTGAATCCGCGATGCACCTGTGTCGGAAGGGTGGCAACCTCTGCGTGCCCAGTGCGTGCTCTTGCGCCTAGTGGGCAGGCTGAGGTTGGCAACCGTACTGTGGGCCAGAAGACCGGTGGAGGCGGCCAAAACTCAAGAGTCGCTAAATGGGCTTCGAACCGAACGTGTGACCCCATCAATGGATTGCTCTTCGAACGAGGAATCCATTGGTGGGGTCACACGTTTGGTTCGAGTCATTTTTGGCGACTCTGAAGCTCAAAACGCGTCTAGAGTTTCGGCTGCCTCCGCCGGTCTTCTGGCCCACTGTGCACCGCTTCGACACTGGCGGCACTTTTCGACTGCTCGTGTAGGAGTGCCCCCTGACCTGGCTGGCCCTGGCCGGCCTGCTGCAGCGACTCCCAGATCGGGTAGGCGAACGGGTCCCGGTACGTGGGGATCTCGTTGGTGATCTGCGCGGCGCGGGACTGCCGCTTGGAGAAGCGCCACATGGCCCTGAGCTGGTCGCAGGACGGCTCCCGCTCGCCCAGCCGGTCCAGCGGCACCAGCTCCTGCGGCGAGTGCGGCAGTGCTGCCACCAGCGGCAGCACCAGCAGCAGCAGCATCCTGCGAACAGAGCGGCAGCGAGTGATGCGGAGCATGCGGAGCGGCAACGACACAGTGGGCCAGAAGACCGGTGGAGGTGGTCAATATCCCGGACGCGTTTTGAGCTCCAGAGTCGCCAAATGGGACTCGAACCGAACGTGTTGACCCCACCAATGGATTGCTCTCCGAACGAGGAATCCATTGGTGGGGTCACACGTTCGGTTCGAGTCCCGTTTAGCGACTCTGGAGCTCAAAACGCGTCTGGAGTTTTAGCGCCTGCGGACTGTGCGGTAGGCAACGCGCACAGCGCGCGCTCTGAGCGGGTTGCCTACCCGCCGCCTCGCAGGCGTTCTGGAGAGGCTGGACGACCACAATTGGCTGTACGTAGATCCTACTTTTTGGCAGGAAAAAAAATCGGCACCTAAAGCGTCTTACTGGGAACTTTTTTTGTCTCGTCGTAAGACCCGGAGGAGAGCGTTTCGGTTGACTCCGTCCGTGCAGGAACGAGACGTATAATGGTGTCGCGCTCGGCACCCCATCATCGCAATGTCAGCGGGCAGCCCACACTGCACACGGAATCCACGGCCTTCTGGTAGTCACTCAGTCACGCCTCCCCGCTCTGCCGCCGACTCCTCCTCCCTTCTTGCGCCCTTTTTTCTCGCCGTCAAGTTGGCTGGCCGACAAGGGCGTGTTGGCCGTGCTCAACAAGCGTGGCTAATGTATCGTTATGCGGCGCGCTGGGTCGCAGCGCCCCGCCCCGCCCCGCCCCGCCCCGCCCCGCCCCGCCCCGCCCCGCCCCGGCCTCGCCGCCCGACCGCCAGAGGGCGCCATCGTCACCAGTGGCACTTGTTGCCAACACCCCCACAAGACAGCCACCCCACCGCCCTGCTCTCTCTCTCTCTCTCTCTCTCTCTCTCTCTCTCTCTCTCTCTCTCTCTCTCTCTCTCTCACAGGCATGTGCTGCCCGTGTCTAATCGCTGCCGCATATTTTTTCATCCCCCTTCCACCTTTATCTCCAGCGTGTCGTGCTAAACGATTTATTGAGTGGCGTGTGTGTGAGGGTGTGCGAGTGTTGGGGATGTGGATCCTGCAATTTCTCATCGTGAATATAAAACGCGCCGACAGGATGAAAAATTAATGGTGCAGCGTGTTTGACTGTTGGCGATTTGTTTGAGCGGAGCCGGAGGCAGGGTTGTGCAAAATGGAATCCAATAAACAATAATGTACAAATAAGATTTTTCTGTCAGACTCCGTTTTTTTATAGACAAGTCAAGGTGCGTCTATATGGGCCAGACTGAAATAGAGGTCGTATTTGAGTTAGGAAACCGACGGACGCAGCAGCAGTGGAGCCCCGGATGTTTCTGCCCCGAGGATGGGTCAACAGCAGCCTCGTCTCTCTTCGCGAATGTTAGGCTTCACCGCCGTCCCGGTGTGTGGGTCGCATATATATTAACTTGCAGCAGGAGCCCCGCATTTATTTACAGAGTTCCTTTCCCGTCGTGTTCGTTTAGTTTTTGTTTCTTCTTTGCGAAAGCATGCGAAAGCCGGGCCCCGGCCGCCCACTCCCTCTCCCACTCCCACTCCCACTCCCACTCCCACAGCCACTCCCACTCCCACTCCCACTCCCACTCCCACTCCCTCTCCCACTCCCACTCCCACTCCCACTCCCACTCCCACTCCCACTCCCACTCGCACTCGCACTCGCACTCCCACTCCCACAGCCACTCCCACTCCCACTCCCACTCCCACTCCCACTCCCACTCCCACTCCCACTCCCACTCCCTCTCCCACTCCCACTCCCACTCCCACTCCCACTCCTGCTCCCACTCCCACCCACTCCCACTCCCACTGGCTCTCCCACTTGAGGCTGGCGGGGAAGAAACGGTTCAATCTAGTTTCCCTTTGTGGAGCTAGTGCGGTGCGGCGGGTGCGACCTTTGTTTCCCCTTTCTGGCCGGAAAGCTTTCATTGTCTCGGCCGTCTTGGCGGGCACGGCGGGTGTGTAAATCGTTGATGGTCGCGAAGCGTCGCGAAGCGAGAAACGGCGGACGGCGGCAGTTATCGCAGAAAGGGCGCTTTTGGCGCGGTGTCGCTCTGTCTCCCTCGCACCCCCGAGCAACGCCTCACCAGTCCCTTGAGAGCGAGAGAGACGGAGAGTGTTCGGAATGGCGCTGCCGGCGGGGCGGTGGCGGGGCGGCCGGCCAGAGTTGCGTCGTTTCGCTCGGGGTCGCCATCTTCCACCAATCGCTATCAAAACCCGACCCTCTGTTATTGAAAGTGCGCGCACGGTGGGCGGGGCAGGGCGGTGCCCCGCGGGGGGAGGGGGTGGCATTCCTATCTATAATTGCTGGAGACAAGCGAAATGACCCCCGCAGTCTGCACACAGGCCGAGCCATAACTGCCCCAGCAGGCTTCGTCGCTCCCTCCCTCTCGCACTTGTAGCGCGTCGGCGCGTCCCGTGGGCGTGCGCGAGAGAGACAGAGCGATGAAATCACTGAGCCTGCGGGGCCTGCGGGCGGGGGCCGGGGATACGGCACTTCACGACGGCGGTGCGGGCGACCTGCACTGGAGGGGCCTTACTCATGTGGGGGGACTGCGCACAGTGGGCCAGAAGACCGGTGGAGGCGGCCAAAACTTGAGCTCCAGAGTTGCCAAACAGGACTCGAACCGAGAGTGTGACCCCACCAATGGATTGCTCTCCGAACGAGGAATCCATTGGTGGGGTCACACGTTCGGTTCGAGTCCTGTTTAGCGACTCTGGAGCTCAAAACGCGTCTCGAGTTTTGGGCGCCTCCACCGGTCTTCCGGGCCCACTGTGCGGCACGGCACGGCACGGCCTGGAACGCGGTTCAGAATGCAGAGGAGGCGCGGTTAGAAGGGGACCAAAAGGGAGCGGTGTTGGAAAGAAGACCTGGTGGAATGGGGACAGCGCGGCTGGAAATTGAACTGCACCCTGAGGAGGATGCGGTGTCGCAACGAGAGAGAGAGAGAGAGAGAGAGAGAGAGAGAGAGAGAGAGAGAGAGAGAGAGAGAGAGAGAGAGAGAGAGAGAGAGAGAGTAGAGAGTCGAACACAGAGGTTGGTTAATTCAGTTGGAACTGGCAATGTGTAGTGGGAATTGGAATCCGGGGTGGGGGTCGCGGCCGTTCGAGGCGCTGGGAGTGGCTGGCGCCCTGGAAGTAGAACACTGGGGCGTGGGTGAACCGGACGGGACAGGGTGGAACCATGTTGGCACCATGGTGGAACAGGCAGGTCTGGAATGAAGGGCCCCCGAGTCGGCATTCCGGTGGAAGCAATGAAATGCCTGCCGTCGCTCCCCACGTCTCCCGTTGTTAATTCGCTTAATTTTTAATTTTTAACTGCCGTCGTTACCCCGGCTAGGGTCGCTGGGGGCGGCGCTGGGGGCGGTGCCGGGGCCGGTGCCGGGGGCAGTGTCGGAAGGAATGCTCCAGTTGCTTCCGTCCGGCTGGCCAGCCAGCAGCGCAGTCCACCCCCGGCCCGCCCCCAGCCCGCCCCCGGCCGGCAGCCCCGCCACAGGCCTGAGACAAGCAAGGAAAAAACAACCAACAAAAACAAAAACGCACGGTCTGTTCTTTGCCCAATTGCGGTATTTAAACACGGCAGCGCGACTCTCCGGCCGGAGGCGGAAGTTTCTTTGCCACCTCGTCTGGCCACACAAAGGTCTTGCTTTGCAGTGGAGCCTGATTGGGCGGCTGGGAGAGGCATCTGTGTGGGAAGGGAAGGGGGGTGGGGGGCAACCGCAAAGTTGCCCACAGGCCTCATTCCAAACCCCCGGCTCGCTTTCTGCCTACGGCCCCGCCGGGTGAGAAGGGTCAAATATTGGTCTTTCAGCGACACACGCACTCACACGCACACAAGCGCGCATCAATTCCTCCCTCTATCAGCCCCACCCCCCACCCCCCACACACACACGCGCGTCGCCCGGAACAAACGACGTTCTTTCTCGCCGTCTCGCTGGCACGCTCTGAGCCGCCGAATATTCGATCCCTCTCAGTTTTTCGAGAATGGGTCCCTGCGAGTGCTTAGCGATTCGTCGTATGGCTGTGGTGGCCGATCCCAGCTAGGTTCGTAAGTAGGCGGCAACTTCATTTCGAGGATTTCCCCGCGCCTCTCCTCGTCTCAAGTATTTACGCGACCAGCACATCAAAGCGGCAAACAAGGAACATATGAATGATTCTGGAAAGGCCGAGGCTCCGCGTTCTGTGAAGGACCAGGGCCGCACAGTGGGCCAGAAGACCGGTGGAGGCGGCCAAAACTCTAGACGCGTTTTGAGCTCCAGCGTCACTAAATGGGACTCGAATCGAACGCGTGACCCCACCAATGGATCGCTCTTCGAACGAGGTATCCATTGGTGGGGTCACACGTTCGGTTCGAGCCCTGATTAGCGACTCTGGAGCTCGAAACGCGTCTAGAGTTTTGGCCGCCTCCACCGGTCTTCTGGCCCACTGTGCGCTGCTGCGCTGCGCTCTCTTCGGCTTAACTCTTCCCTTATCCGGGGAAACTTTACGCTGGCGGGACACCTCTTTCCTCCTCTTTTTACCCGAACTTTATTCAATAAATATGCTGCTGCTGCCCGGAGAGGACGGAGAGAGGTACAGAGAAATGGAGAAATTGGAGGCACAACTCGGCGACCCGACGGAGAAAGCCACGTCGGCTTTTCAAACTTGCCAAGAGTCTGACTTGGAAGAAAAGTGCACGCCGTTCCGTGCTTGTTTCGGTGACTCGACGTGGGAAATCAGGTTCCAAAGTCAGAAACTGTGGCTGTGCACAATGAGACAGAAGCAAAGCAAGACGGGATCACCAAGTTTCTTCCATGAAATTTTCCGCTCTGTGGTCACAGAGTGCACTCAGCTGACCTCTCCAGTGAGCATTCAAGATGCCTCCTCCCCTCCCGGCCCGGGTGGTCGCGTGTGGCTCGCTGCCTCTGCCGCACAGTGGGCCAGAAGGCCGGTGGAGGCAGCCAAAACTCTAGACGCGTTTTGATCTCCAGAGTCGCTAAGTG